AAAAGGCTAGCTACGGGAGAGATGCTGCTATACTCCGGTCACGAAGAGGAAAATGCTCCACACACTCAGGGAGTTGCTCTAATGCTGTCCAAAGTAGCACGAAATGCACTTGTAGGTTGGGAATCCCACGGATCCAGAATCATCAAAGCATCATTCAAAACAAAGAAGGAGGGGATCTTAATGAATATTATCCAATGTTATGCACCCACCAATGATAGCAACGACGACATTAAAGATCAATTCTACGAGCGGCTGCAGTCAATCATAGAGAAATGCTCAAGAAAGGACCTCACCATTCTAATGGGAGATCTAAATGCCAAAGTCGGAATAGACAACACTGGATATGAAGATACTATGGGACGACATGGACTGGGAGAAAGAAACGAAAATGGAGAAAGATTTGCAAATTTGTGTGCATTCAACAAATTAGTCATAGGAGGCACAATATTTCCACACAAACGTATACACAAGGCTACATAGATCTCACCGGACCACACTACAGAGAACCAAATAGATCATATTTGCATCAACAACAAATTCCGAAGGACAATGGAAGATGTGAGAACCAGGAGAGGTGCTGACGTAGCTTCAGATCACCACCTAGTTGTAGCCAATTTGAAACTGAAGCTAAAAAAGAACTGGACAAGTGGACAAACAGCACTACAAAGGTTCAATACAGCCTTCCTTCGAGATACTGACAAACTCAATGAATTCAAGATAGCTCTCAACAACAGGTTCCAAGCCTTTCAAGATCTACTGAAGGAAGAAGAAACTACCATGGAGGACAACTGGAAAGGCATCAAAGAAACATTGACTTCAACGTGTCAAGAGGTTCTGGGCCTAAAGAAACACCATCATAAGGAATGGATCTCTACAGAAACACTGGACAAGATCAAAGAAAGGAAGAACAAGAAGACAGCAATTAACAACAGCCGAACACGAGCAGAGAAAGTCCAAGCACAAGCTGAATACATAGAAGCAAACAAGCAAGTGAAGAGGAGCATTAGAGCCGACAAGAAGAAATACGTGGAAGAATTAGCAACGACGGCAGAAAAAGCTGCTAGAGAAGGAAATATGAAACAGCTCTACGATACAACGAAGAAACTATCAGGGAAATACAGTAAACCAGAGAGGCCGGTCAAAGACAAAGAAGGCAAGCCAATCACTGAAATTCAACAACAGCGAAACAGATGGGTAGAATACTTTGAGGAACTCCTGAATAGGCCGGCTCCAATGAATCCACCGGACATCGAAGCAGCACACACAGATCTTCCTACAGATGTCAACCCACCAACGATGGAAGAAATTAGAATGGCCGTCAGACAAATCAAGAACGGGAAAGCAGCAGGACCCGACAACATACCAGCTGAAGCACTGAAGTCAGACATCGAAGTAACTACAAGCATGCTTTACCTTCTATTCAAAAAGATTTGGGAGGAGGAACAAGTGCCAATGGACTGGAAAGAAGGACACCTCGTCAAGATTCCAAAGAAAGGAGATCTGAGCAAATGTGAAAACTACAGAGGCATTACACTACTGTCAATACCAGGGAAAGTCTTCAACAGAGTGTTGCTGAACCGGATGAAGGATGCAGTAGATGCCCAACTTCGAGATCAACAAGCTGGATTCCGAAAGGATCGGTCGTGCACAGACCAAATTGCAACACTACGGATCATCGTCGAACAATCAGTTGAGTGGAACTCGTCACTATACATCAACTTCATTGATTATGAAAAGGCATTCGACAGTGTAGATAGGAGGACATTATGGAAACTTCTTCGACACTACGGAGTTCCTGAGAAGATTGTCAATATTATCCGGAACTCATATGACGGACTACAGTGCAAAGTAGTGCATGGAGGACAGCTGACGGATGCATTCCAAGTAAGGACCGGAGTCAGACAAGGCTGTTTACTCTCTCCCTTCCTCTTTCTTCTGGTGGTCGACTGGATTATGAAGACCTCAACATCTGAAGGAAAACACGGAATACAATGGACAGCTCAGAATCAATTAGACGATTTGGACTTCGCAGATGACCTAGCCCTCCTATCACGTACACACGAACAGATGCAGATGAAAAAAGCCAGTGTAGCAGCAGTCTCTGCATCAGTAGGCCTCAGTATACACAAAGGGAAAACGAAGGTCCTCAAATTCAAAGCGGAGAACAGCAATCCAATCACCCTTGATGGCGAAACTCTGGAAGATGTAGAATCCTTCACATATCTGGGAAGCATCGTCGATAGACAAGGAGGCTCAGATGCAGACGTAAAGGCGAGGATCGGCAAAGCAAGGGTCGCATTCCTACAATTGAAGAACATATGGAACTCAAAACAACTTTCAACCAATATCAAAGTGAGAATCTTCAATACGAACGTCAAGGCAATTCTACTGTATGGAGCTGAAACTTGGAGAACTACAACAACCACAATCAAGAAAGTACAAGTATTTATAAATAGCTGTCTACGCAAGATACTCAACATCCATTGGCCGGATACCATCAGCAATAGCCTTCTGTGGGAGAGAACAAACCAACTTCCAGCTGAAGAGGAAATTAGGAAAAGACGATGGAAATGGATAGGACATACATTACGCAAATCGTCAAACTGCATCACGAGGCAAGCTCTAACTTGGAATCCTGAAGGGAAGCGGAAAAGAGGAAGGCCAAAGAACACATTACGTCGGATAATAGAAGCAGATTTGAAAAGGATGAATTACAACTGGACGGAGCTGGAAAGGATTGCCCAGGACAGGGTTGGATGGAGAATGCTGGTGAGCGACCTATGCTCCTTCACGAGGAGTAACAGGTGTAAGTAAGTAAGTAATCGTAACCAATGGTTGGAGACTCTAGGTAACATGGCTCAGAATGGATCACAATTGCGTAGGTGTAGACACTCTTTGTCTTCTGTTAAACTATGTGATTAAAATTATTTAATATCTTTTTTCTACGAACCAATTCTTTATTTCTGTACTATATCCTTACATAAAATCTTTTCTTTATACATTACACCATTGAGTTAACTGCTTCTATGAATCCGATGTTCGTCTTGCTGTGCTAATGAGGTGTGGCAACTTGGACCGATGCATGTATGTGCCTGATCCTGCGTTGTAACTAAATGATTGACTGAAATAAACATGACATTGGTAACTACTCACTGAAAAGCAGAGTACTTCTTTGTAAGCAAAGATGAATAGTGGCTAGCAGTGGAATCCAGGACGCGCGCTTTGTCCTATTTTGAATTCATTAGCTGGACATATCTGCATTTTAGACTTGATGTTCACTCGGTACCACTCACTTCAAAGGCCATCACGCTATCCACTTAGCTATTGAATTCAGATAGCCATTAGATTGTACAATGTGGTAAAGTTTACATTCATTTTTCACTGAGAATGATTGAAAATATGATAACATTGAATAGGTATTTCATGTTAGTTTGGATTGATTCCAAAGAATGTACTCATGACATTTTCAATGACTGAACCTGAATCCATTACGCCTTCAATAGCATTTATTACTCCAATTTCACCGATTATGTAAACAATGGTCAAAAATAATTTAACTTATAACACAGAGTGGTAATACTAGAACAATTTCATTGGTAAGTGTTTATTACACTCGTTAAACTTTTAATTCACACCATAACCATTGTCTAATACTTTCTCATTTTGTTTATTCTTTGAATGATTTAAGTCCATGACTATGGTTATCTTCGAATTACATGAAATCTATCCATATGATAAGGATGACTTCTTTGATTCATTTCAGTGTGAACTTTCATACTTTCATTTCATGTATTTTGTTTAAGAAATGCAAGTTTGTGTAATTTATGCTAATAACATGTAAATTAATTGTAAAATATATGAATCAGCAATTGTATGAACTGAGCACTTGTCAAAGAAATGTTATTCATGTGAAGGAATAGATTATAAGCAAAATATATTGTCAATGGTGACACCATATTAGGTTTTACAGGAATATACTCGGAATATACAGTGTAATGATCATCAGTCTTGTCACAGTAGTACTTATTATCAATATGCAATATATGAAGAGAATACAATCAGTTAACAGGGAGTAGATTTAAGAAATTCAAGCATAGGATTGTGAAACAAGTTTTTATTTTAGATTATGGCGTTTTACACGGTATTAAAGTATCATGGCTTTTTAAATCAATATTTATATTTTCAGACAAGAGTTTTGTGAAGATTGTAATAATTTAATAACTGGATTCATGAGTTAATTGAGGCTACACCACCATAGAAAACCTGGAAGCAATGGATGGCCGTTTCGTCCCACCATGGAACTCCTCGCCAGTGCGCATGCACGGTCCCCCACAAAGGAGTTTCGAACCCAAGACCTGTCAGTCTCGTGCACTAACGCTTAACCACTAGACCACTTAGCCGGACGGCATCCAACGGTGTTAATGTCTAACTTCAACTAATCCACGAAATTGATCAACACATCCACCATTGTCATCAGTGAGTTACTATCTCACAACACACACGGCTGAACTCCACTAGTCACTGCTTCTCACTAGAACAATTTTTATTTTCCATAGTTTAGATCACCGTTAGGCTACTCTATCAATATAGGTATTCAGTGTGATAAAGCTTCAAATGTAACTAGAACTGCATCCTAAATTTTGATTTTTGCAAATTCAGAAAACGATGCTATGCATAGACTTCAGTTTGTTGAATTCACTAAAATTAAAGAGAAATTCATTAAGATAAATTCAATCTTTTATGAGATGGTGAAGAAGATTTGTAGCTCAAATGGATGATTTTGATGAAGTTTTATTCTCTGAGCTAGATGGTTTAGTCGTGAAGATTTCATTGTTCTTCTGAACGACAATCATTAGAAGAAGAACAATGAAAGCTCCACGACTAAACCACCTAGTTCAGAGAACAAAACTTCATCAAAATCAATCTCTTTTCTTTATTTTGATCAACAATTATATCATTTATAAACTAATTAATGAATGAATTATTTAATGAATCAATTTTCATTGTTGTAATTCTGTTAAGATATTTACAAGTATATTTGCATCATTTTGTAAATGATTTAATTCATTATTCATTTTCAATGCAATATTACGCCAATAATCTGCTTCAAGATTTGTACAATAATTTGGATTAGTATACATTTCATTCATGTATTCTCTACATAGAAAAATTAAAAAGAAGAAAGACTTTAAGCAATATGTAAACATATACATATATATATATATACAATGAGATTAAAGACATACATTTCAGCCTCCTTAGGACTTATCATCTGATTATACAGAAATCTTAATGTTATTGTTCACAGTGAGACTCGAACCCAACACTTATCTTTAAATAAAACAAACAAACAAATTGCTAATTTATTGATTGAGATCATGGATCGATTGGTGTTAGACCAACATTGAAAACCTGGAAGCACTAGACGGCTTTTTCGTCCTATTGTGGGACCCCTCGCCAGTGCGCATCCACGACCTCGTCTCGCGGGATTCAACCGGGTCAGTTGTGAGGTAGTAACTCACTGATGACAATGTTGGATGTGTTGATCAATTTCGTGAATTAGTTGAAGTTAGACATTAACACAGTTGGATGCCGTCCGGCTAAGTGGTCTAGTGGTTAAGCGTTCGCGCGCGAGAATGATAAGTACTGGGTTCGAATCTCTTTTGTGGGGGACCGTGCATGCGCACTGCTGAGGAGTCTCATGGTGTGACGAAACGGCCATCCAGTGCTTCCAGGTTTTCCATGTTTTTTTTATCTTCAATTGACTCATGATCTCAAATGGATATATATATATCATGTTATAGTTGGCATTACATTGTCCTGTTAGAATCTCTTTAGTTTAAAAGTTACTCAACGGTTACTTAGGGCGACATATTTTGTATGAATTCGACTAAGAAAACGATGGGTTATATACTAGTCCTAGATTGATCTTAGTTAGAAATACATTGAAAAAATAAACAGTTTGCACTAGACAAATGTATCGTCGTCTTAGCCGGAATCTAATCTTCAGGAGTTATACCCTATTGATCTTGTTGGAAAATGAACTCATAACCTAGAATTTTAGCAGTGAACACTTATTCATTAGACCAATGAAATCACTGAGATCAGTGATAAATTAAATGATTTTTCATTAAATCGTTTCATTAAGTTAATTCAATTGTTCAAGATTGTAAATAGGAGAATCAATTGAGAGAAATCAATAAATCTATATTGACCAGGATTAATTTCTTGATAAGAATATAATGAAACAGTCAAACAATTTAGTAAGAATTCAGTAGGTTAGATAAGATATGGATCATAACTGTTAGGCATCATAGTAAAGTGATTCAAGAACGTATGATAGTGATCTATTTAACAAAGAATAATTGTGCTCAGTATTAAACAAGGAGGTAGTGAATGTAAATTTCATTTCACCTAATTAAAATGTTTTGTCCTATAAATACTTATAGTCATCTATTTAGGAGTACATCTGAGAATATTTAGGTTACACAATTTGATGTCAAGTGAAGAATATTGCTTAACCTGGTTTTCGTGCTAGCTGATACAAATCTTCAAAATGCTTGTATAGTTTTGACGGAACCGATATTTCCCTGTAAGACTCAAAACTGTATCACCTGGTAGACTATAATCAGAGATGTTACTACTTGATTATTAAAGTATTAACCGACATTTTGTAAAATTGTATCGTTTACACCATGGTCAATCCCTTAGTAATTATCAATATTGCTTATCCAGTACTTAATATTGAATAAAGTATCCCAAGCAATTTTCAATTTGCCAACAAGAAAAAAAATAATGATACATTGAAGTAAACATTGTCAGGTATTGGATTATTGAATCCACACATCAGTTTTAGGTGGATTAATGATCTCCTCTGAGAATATTATTCCAAATCGACTAATCTACTTCAGAGAGCGAAATATAATTGCTTATCCTTGTTGATTTGATTTTGACAAAGATGTGTACAAAGAGAATAATAAATTCATCAACATGGTTGATGATAAGTTGATAAAAGAACTTATCTCAATTACATCTTTTGAATTTAATATTCCTTTTGTCAGACGATCCTATAGATCCAATATAACTGAGATCAGTATCAGAAGGGGTTTTGTGGAAATTGTAGTAATTTCAACAGTTAAGATCATGAGTCAATTGAAGTTAGACCACCATGGAAAACCTGGAAGCTTCAATTGACTCACGATCTTAACTGTTTAAATTACTACAGTCTCCAGAAAACCCTTTCTGATACTAATCAAAATATGCTCACTAGTAACTGGCTTCAAGAGGTATATCCTAGAGTTCTAGTGAGAAGCAGTGACCAGTGGAGTTCAACTAGGTCTGTTGTGAGATATCAACTCACTGAAGACAATGGTGTACGGTGGCGCAATTTCGTGGATTGTTTAGAGTTAGATATTAACACCGTTGGATGCCGGCCAGCTTAGTGGTCTAGTTGGTTAAGCGCCTGTGGCGAGACTGATAGGTCCTGAGTTCGAATTCCGCGAGGCGGGGTCATGGATGTGCACTGCTGGGGAGTCCCACAATAGGACTAAACTGCCATCCATTGCTCCCAGGTTTTTCGTGGCGGTCTAGCTTCAATTGACTCATGATCTCAACTGTTGAAATAACTGAGATCATTTTGAGATTGTATGACTGAGTACCATAATTAAAACTGTTAGGACTGACTTGTTTGTATTGCACCGGATAATATGTATTTAAATCTCAGGTGAAACACCAGTTTTTTTTAAAGGTACAAAATACCTATACAAGCATTCGACTATTAACATGAAAAGAGACTAGATTAGTTAAGGATATGCTGTTGACTGTTTCGGAATACCTGATTTCACATAGAATACACTGGAGTGTGAAATTGATTGACATAACGATTACATTTTAAGTGTGTATTGCATTGATCACTCAACAACTGGATTTAACTTCTAAAATATTTAAAGAAAATTTGGTTTCAACGAATTACATATGAAACTACATTTAAAGCGGAAATGATTCTTAAACGATCAAATCAGTTCATACTTTCATGTTATAGTTTAACACATTTGAAATCAGAAGGGGTTTTTTGGGAGATTTTGGTAATTTCAATAGTTAAGATCATGAGTCTGTTGAAACCGTTGGATGCCGGGCTTAGTGGTCTAGTTGGTTAAGCGCTCGCGCGCGAGACTGATAGGTCCTGGGCTCGAATCTCGCAAGGCGAGATCGTGGATGCGCGCTGCTGAGGAGTCTCAAAATAGGACGAAACGGCAGTTTAGTGATTCCAGGTTTTCCATGGTGGTCTAGCTTCAATTGATTAATGATTTTAACTTTTGAAATCAATGATAAAATGAGTGATTTTTTCTGTTAACAGCCAGAAAACAAAGTTTGTTATGAAAAACAATATAATACACACGCACGCACATATTATACATCCCTAGTTTTAACTTACTCAATATAAGAATCATCTTCGATTTGTAATAATGAAGAGGGAATGTTTTCATTTGTATATTGACTTGAATTCAAATCATATTCACTTTTATCCCCGTTGTGCAAATGATGGTGAAGATGAGGATGATAATGTTTATTTCGATTAGTCATTAATCTTTTCAGTCGATTTAATTCTGTTTGTTTGGACACAGTGGTATCAATTTGATTTTTAAATCGCCTCTGAAATGTAATGAATAAGACAAGAATTTGTTTTTAATATGTTAGGTGGTTGGAGGTAGTCAGTAGGAAAATCTACTTCCCTTGTAAGTTGAGACTCGTAAACATGATATTACTCGCGATCTTGAAGAAATTGATATTTACTATGAGATTCGAATTCAATTTTAAAGGCTGAGTGTGACCCTACATTTCTGAGGTATTTGCATCTTGACTGCTTTACAGGATTGAGTTGATGATCAATCAGTTGTAAATGAGTCAATTAGCTAAATATTCTTAATTAACAGCGCAGATATTCATTTTAAAGCTCAAAACCATTATTGATCTCTTCGAACGCTAACGAATTATTCAGTAAGAAACTGAGTCTAGATACTTAATAACTAGTATAGCATTTATAAAATTCTCACTGTTTACATTCAGGACTGAAATTGATCAACCTCTGTTGGCAGCTATTTATGACCACAGGATTCCTATATATTACTGTTTATTTGCAAGTTATATTTTAAGAAAGTCTTTTAAATAAACAGGAATATCAGTAATACATCGTTAATTACTAGCTGGCTTATGAGATACATTCATCGTAGTTCTATTAAAAAGTCAAGACAATAGAAAATCAGCCTATTTTAAAATCAAATATTAATATATTAATTTCCATTTAACCTATTGACTACTATTATAAGATTTACTATTCTTAAGTGATTCCCAATTGATTAATTACAGTCTCTCACACTCATGGTCACTTTTAATCTGGTCTTGCATAATTATTATTTTCTATTTGATGATATATGATACGGTCTGATTTGTTTGTATATAAACTGAATATGTCTGAAATACATTGGAGGCTCATATTTATGTTCTGAACTTAAACGAACAGAGCTAGACGAGAAGAACCAATAACCACTCATAATTGATTCTAGGCTACTTGTACTAGTTAATGCGTCATTAATTTGGCACAATGCCAAGGTTGTAAAAGTCGGTGTTTTGACTGGTGACTTAGTCACGTGATATTTGACGGGGCTTAGGACAATGACATATTTTATATTGTCTTCCAGTTTCTTATATTCTTCCATGCCAGTTCAAATTCAATTTCATTAGTTAAGATATGTAATACATTATTTAAAATAATATAACTAATTGTAACTTTGATGTGTTTTACAACTGATGAAAAGTTACGAAATATCATTTAACTGAATAGTTTGTAAAGGCATTTTATAATAATAATAATAATAATAATAATAATAATAATAATAATAATAATAATAATAATAATAATAATAATAATAATGCAAAAAATTAAAAGGCCAATTAACCAATAAGGAACTGATTGGGTCCATTCCACACTCTTATAATTTGGTAAACTGTTTAAATATGTATAACATCTAGAGAGTATCTTTCATTCATTAAGGACAATTCGTTACATTTTTTTTGATCAATAAGTATAAGAAAACACATGAAATATGACGTGACGTTTAATGGTAATAATAATAGTAATAGTGGAAGACCAAACTTTGAATACTATATAGGTATTATGTGAAAATGTTTATGATAACAGTGATCTATCTGAACCACCAGTATTAAGTTAACTAACTGTCAGTTGGTCTGAGCCATGTTGATGGATAGAGACTATCTGGTTGAAATTTGCGACATTAACGTGACCAGTGCTTAGAAATTTTAGATGAAATGTCTCAGGATCGATCACAATAGTGCAGAAGCATTCACCCTCTATCTTATTCAAGATATTAAGTCTTAGTGTTCATTCATGGGTACTTTTTTATTATGTCTTTTCGAATTAAAGCTTAGTCAATTCGATTTATCAGAAGGGGTTTGTGGAGATTTTAGAAATTTCACAGATTGATGTCATATCTTTTCTGTTCGTTTGCTACTCATCTTAACAATTTAAGCTCGTCATGTTCATATATAGGCCAACACGCATGAGTGTCAGGAGCTACGTTGATCATGACTGAATGAGTGGCTTCGCAAAATCTGGGATAAATGTACAGAAATTTTCAGTGTGAATGACGAATTTTTATTTCGAAATTAAATACCTCTCCGTAATGAAAAAAGCCCGTCTGTTGGAAGATCATTTTCCTTTAAGATTTTCTTCAGAAATTAAAAAAAAAGTTCCGTTAATACTTTTAGACTCATCCTTATGACTTATGGGAGAACTAACCTCATTAAACTGACAAAATGAAGTCACAGGAGAACGTTCTGAGTACTATGTATGATAGATATCTGGTTCTCTCTATGTATGTGTACACCGGAAATGCCTAGGGTGGAGTGTACCATTGAAGAGCAATTTAGTAAAAACCAAACTGAATCCAGTTGTTATCAATGTGCACCTTGAATACAGATATCATTGGTACAACAACTATGACGTTTACGTATTTCTGACCACCTACACAATTTCTACCTATAGTAATGAAAAATAACTGTCCATATTACCAAACCCTTATAAAAACCCAAGCCCATTTTTATAAGAGTACCCACCCTATTTCTAATTGAGGTGAATTATTTAAGGTTAAGATTAGGAGTATGATACATGTAAAACTGCTCTGTAGTCATACAAACGAACGAGTTTCGTTCAAAAATATGAAAGACGCTATATGAATAGTTTATCCATAAAGCGAAGTGTCACTAAGTCAAAATTTCCATCTGAGTTACGGATTTAGGGTTAGGATTTTGGCATAGTGTCAAGTTGCCTATCATATTACAGTCTACATAGAAAGAATTAGTCAATTAACACTTTAACACCATTAGTTTTGTTCTATGTCTGTGAAAACGTTTTTGGTATCATATTAAAGATTCTAAGCAGTATACAAAAATATTTCTATTGTACGTTACACATAATATATGTAGTTCGAACAAGAACTTAAAAGTCGATTTGTTGGTTCTGATTACCTCGTCCCTAAAGTATACTTTTACCTAAAGTGTTAACTTTTTTCAAACAAATGCTCAGCCTAGTAACCTCTGTTTGTTCTATAGGGAATTCAGAGAATATATCATAAACATATTCAGCTCTCAAAAAATTTGGATGTACGATGTGTACAGTGACTGCAACAGTATTATTATTATCACTTATTACTGATTACTATTATTACTAGTTGAAGTAGTAAAAGCGGTAGATTTGAGAAGTTCATGTGATCAAAACATTTACTGGAAGATACCAGGGCCAATACGACAAGATAGTTGAGGTTCTCTAAAACAATGTGACCAATCAACTGACATTGATTATAGGCAATAACAATATTAATCATAAAAATTAATGTAATATCATACCTCCAGAATTTTGATATATGAATCATCAGTTCTTTCAATGAAATCAGTGTTGGTGGACGCATCACAAGTTACTCCAGATTTCACTGATTCCTGTGATTTTTCCAGGTCAATTTCAAGTTTAGTTATACGACTCTAGAAAAAGAACATGAAAAAAAGAATAAAACATTTTTTGCACGGAAAAATTATTTATTTTAATGCCATTCAACTGTTATTTGGTGTAAAGTAGACTCTTAAATTGATTAGTTCCGTCAGTCAGTCAGCTACAGCATAGTCAGTCAGTCAGTAACAACGTAGAACTTCTTACGTACATACATCAGTTCGAGTTGCCACACCACATTAGCACAGAGGTGCACTTGTCGATTCAAATCCCGTAGTGGTAGAGGTAATAAGAGTATAAGCAGTAATCGGGAAGATTAGGGTTTGGAGATGTTATTTAAAGAGTATAATACAGTGAAAGAAATTTGGAAAGAGGAAAAAAAGGGACATGAAGAATTCAGAAGATTAGAGTTTGGGAGAACACAGAGAGTGGATGCACCTGCGCCATTGCAAACGATTTTGAGCCATGTCATTCAGGGTCTCTAACCATCGGTTGCTATCATCTCGCGGTCCCCAACCAGGTAGTCTACACCTACCAACATGACTCAGTCCACTTGTCAGTGACTTCATGGACTTGTGCCATGTTTTGGTTTGGCCGCCCCTAGCTTTCTTCCAACCTACTCCTATACCACTGAACATAGCACGTCGAGGCAGTCGGTCGTTGGGCATACGTAACACGTGTCCCAGCCATCTCAACTGATGAAGTTTCACTACTTCATCAATTGATTTGCCATCCTTACCTAGTACCCGTTTCCTAACAACTGTGTTACTTACTCGATGGTCCCATGATATACGAGCAATGTTTCGAAGACACCTATGATCAAATACTAGTAGCCTACGGATATCCTCTACTCTTACCGGCCATGTTTCACTGCCATAAAGTAGGACGGAACGAACTGCTGCGCAGTAAACACGTCCTTTGGTTGATAGACGGATATCTCGCCTACGCCATAAATCACGCAAGTTGGCAAAAGCTAGTCGAGCCTTCTGTATCCGTGCTGAGATTTCGTCACACACTAAACCACAAGGGCTGATGAGACTTCCAAGATAAGTGAAGCGGTCGACACACTCAACTACTTCACTCCCTATCACTAGTTCGGGTGTCGATGTAACCCAATCCTGAAGCAACATTTTGCATTTCGAGGGAGAGAATCGCATCCCGAACATGCTTGCATTGTTGCTTAGAGTGGTCAGAAGACTCTGCATTTTGTCAGCGTCTTCACCAAATAAAACTATGTCATCTGCATATTCTAAGTCAACAAGTGAACCTCCTGGTAGAAGTTCAACCCTTGGAAATTTAGATGAGGGGAGTGTTATCTCTAAAAGTACGTCGACCACAAAGTTGAACAAGGATGGGGAGAGTGGACAGCCCTGACGAACACCACTTGAGGTAATCAATTCTGATGACAGTTCGCCATAAGCTCTCACTCTACCAATTGTGTTCGAGTAGAGAGCCTTTATAAGGTTAATGTACTTCTTTGGCACTCCTTTCAGTGACAAACACTGCCATAGAACCTCACGATCAATAGAGTCGAATGCCGCCTTAAGGTCGAGAAATACTACCATTGTGGGGCGTCTGAATGTGTGTCTGTGTTCTAGAACCTGACGTAGTGTGAATATCTGATCTATACAACCACGTCCAGGTCGAAAACCGGCCTGGTTTTCTCTAATCTGCTCTTCACGAGCTTTGATTAGGCGTCGAAGTATTATTGAAGCTAATATTTCAGACACTATATTAGTCAAACTGATTCCTCTGTGATTGTCACAAGAGGACTTTTGTCCTTTCTTATAGACTGGCACAATCAGTGATTGAGACCAGTCAGATGGGATTACGTTCAGTTCCCAAATTCTACCTAAGACCTCGATTAATCTCATTGCTAATACTGGACCACCATCCTTAAAAATCTCAGGAGTAAACCTGTCAGGGCCTGCTGCTCTCCCTCGTTTCAGATTTCCTATGGCTTTTTCAACTTCGTAAAGGGACGGAGGACCTACACTAACTTGCCATTCAGGTTGACTAGAGATCGTGGGAAACCGAAGTGTGGCTGAAGGCTAGTTGAACTGATCCCTAAAGTGTTCTGCCCATCGATCCAATCTCCTGGATTGAGAATGAATAATATGTCCATCTTTTTCTGAGATTGTTTCGCTAACGGTCGGGTTCCTAATTCCGGTTTCCTTAACGAGTCTGAACAATTGTCTGCTATTACCTATTGCCGCTGCCTTTTCCATCTCTCTTGCTTTCGCTACAGCATAGGACCAAGCACATATGTGCATCGATCCAAGTTGCCATACCTCATTAACACAACAAGATGAACACCGTATTCATAGAAGTATTTAATTCAACGGTGGTAATATATAAAAGAAAGATTGCATACAAGGACCGTTGTTGCTACCTTGACGTGGTGGTCGAGCTTCCCTATCGTGATGAACTAATCGAGCTATACTGGCTGGAACAATCGTTCCTCAAGGTCTTACCATGCCAGATAGGTCGGTTGAAGAGCGATAAGACTAAAAGCAACAAACTCAAGGTCTGAGGGTAAAGTCATACTGCTGACTGTACAAAGGTGTGGCAGCAGTAAGGTGTTTCCTCCAGACAACCAGCATAACAGTGATGCTGCCTTCCCACAAGGAGGGGTACGGTTATAAGTCGTCGACCCCAAAAAACTGCACACCTCGCCTTATCCCACGGATACCTGTCTCCTGCGGTAACGTCTCAACAAGTACGGAGCTAACACGAAAATTACCCACTAAAAGGTCGTGTATGATAAACTTCAAGCAGTTGTCTCTTGGGCACTGCGATCACACTCTCAGGTCACTAAGACCACCTTTAATCCAATTTTCTTTTCATGTACCTCCAGAAAACCCTTCCTACGGTGTGGGCAACCGGGAAGTGATAATCGCCCTCATACCTCTAACAGCACTCAGTACCACTGTATTCATAATCAACCTCCCTCTAAATTGATTAGCTAAACAAAAGTTTAAGTAGTGATTGAGTAGTTCGTCGGTTAAAGTAATCAATTTTAAACTACTTGATCGCATGTTTATACCTGACTTTACATATTTCGGTCTACACAACTATGTCATATCATTTGCCTCCATATAATAAGCCTTCAAGTATTAAACTCATAGTCATTAATAACAAACTTAATAGGTTGGGAGAAAGATAAATGTAGTCATACGAAGTCATGATACCAATCTATAAAGTCATTGACTCTTGGTCTGGAGCATATTGGTGGGTGAAGACTATTATGGCTGGGATCTGTGTACTTGTAATGTAACTAATATGTTAAATAAATTAAGCGGATATACTTATACAACAGAAACTGACCTGTAACAAGTTTTTGAGTGCATTATGTTCTTTCAAACTAATTGATTCTTTATCGTTGATGGAAACATCTTCATTGTTTTGCTCATTTGAACTGATTATTTTCTAAAAGAGTCAATATCAAGAAGTAATGTAAAAGAGAATTTAAACAACGAATATTAAAATTATTCCATAAACTGTATATTCAAAAATAATGAATCGTTGATAAAATAAGCAAATGGAATATTCTAACTAAATTGCTGCACTCTGACCAATTATGATGACAAGCAGTCATTTTAATGATTATTGTAAGAATTATTTCCCGTTTACATGGTAAAAGAATGCCAGTCATTCATTCAGTCAGTCAGTCATACACAGTGTAGAATCTGATACACATGCATCCGTTCCAGTTGTTATACTATACAAGTACAGAGAGGTAAAATCAGTCCAAGAGAAAACCTGGTGTAATCAGAGTAATAAAAGTTTCAGTAGTAGCGGAAAAGATTAGATAGAGAAAAAAAATAGTATAAGGTTTTAGGACTCAAATTCTAAATGGAGACAATGAATTAATGTACCTACTTCATTACAAATGATTCTTGGCCATGACATTCAAAGTCTCAAATTGTTGATTACAACAATCACAAGGATCACAACCAGGTGGTTTACATCTATCTATATGGCTTAGTTCAATTGCCAATGATTTCATGGACTGATGCTATATCTTTGTTTGGTCGCCCTTAGCTTTCTTCCAGCCTACTCCGAAACCAGATAACATTGAGATCGTCAATGTAAGCGGTGGTTGGGCATAAGTTACATAAATCTTGATCACATAAATTGATGAAGACTCACTGCCTTATTAATTGAATTTCCATATTTACTTAGTAACCTATTCCTAACTTCGGTATTCGGTCGTGATAAATCTATGGAAATGAATTATTATCCAACACTGATAAGCAATTAAACACTTCAATCATTCCAATTTTACGACATGTGACCTCATATACAAGTCATACTTGTCAACTTGAACTTGATGGAAGTATTTTACAAAAAAGACATGTTTAAGCCGTAAACATAAAACTTTACCCCTGTACCTACATTAACAGTCTTCAATTTTTATTTTATTACTTAACTGAATGTAGAAAATACTTTTTCCGTTTTTTTAGTATCCTTGTTACAGATAACCATCATCGTGATTGTATTTGAGATCGTTTAGTGATTATTTTTACACAAATTACGACTATTAAATTTATGCGATCAGATTAAAATGTATCACAAACTTGTACATTACACATTACATGTAATTCTTGTCTTCTTCAGTCAGTCAGTCAGTCAGTTACAACGTAGAACTTCGTGTGTATGTACATCAGTTCGAGTTGCCATACCACATTACATTAGCACAGAGATACAATTGTCAATTCAAATCACATAGTGGTAAAGGTAGTAAAAGTATAAGTAGTAATCGGAAACATTAGAGTTTGAATATATCATTCAAAGAGTATAATCCAGTGAAATAAATTTGGAAAGAGGAAAAAGGGAAATGAAGATTTCAGAAGATTAGAATTTAGGAGAACACAAAGAGTGAATGCACCTGCGCCATTGCAAACGATGTTGAGCCATGTCATTCAACGTCCCTAACCATCGGTTGCTATCATCTCGCGGATCCCAACCAGGTAGTCCACACCTACCAACATGGCTCAGTCCACTTGTGCCATGTTTTGGTCTGGTCGCCCCTAGCTTTCTTCCAACCTACTCCTATACCATGAAACATCACACGTTGGGGTAGTCCGTGGTTGGGCATACGTAACACGTGTCTCAGCCATCTCAACTGATGAAGTTTCACTACTTCATCAATTGATTTATTTTCTTAGAACATTGTGTGGATTTATTTATGTAAAATAATTGATAACTGAAATGATGATAAGTGCTTAATGTTGTCAGTATCCATATGTCATAGTAGATGTGATGGAGAAACAGAACTTTCTTACGGGGATGTTCTATTATAAATTCAATTAAGAAACTGATTTGGTAAAGAAACCATACAATTCTCAAGCAATGAAATACAATTGTGAACCTTACTACACTCACTTTAGTTTCACTTCCAGGATCATAAAACTAATTTTAACTCTAAACCCTAGTGTACTAGCATGTACATGGTTGATGAGTCAAACTAACACGACAGTGGTTACGTAGCTATCTCAAACATGTACAGAGTATTATTTCATTTGTTGAATAGGTTTTTTACAAGATAAAATAAATATTTCATCACAACAAGTGATTTCGATTAGAACGATACAATCTTACTACTTAACTGAATCATTCCATTGGACTGAAATTAATAAACGTCTGTAAAAATCTTATTCTCTTTAAAATTAACTTGCAACTAATTGAGCTCGGAATAGTGATCAATGATAAGTCGTGTAGGTTGAACGCTATATACGAATCCTAAGCTATTCCCGTAACCCGCAGACTAGAACTACACAGCGATTTGAACTCCAGAGAGAAGACACAAGTATGAGAGAAAACACTTTATCCCAAGGTTTCGTTTTAGTACAGAAAATCAAGGGTATTTATAGATGTTGGCGTCTGTTAAATCAACATCATATTTCAGCCAATCCGTTAACGTCATATTATGCTACCGACCAATAGTAGCACGCCACGCTGGAATTCTCGAACGTTCCATCATACTCTGATTGGCTAGGGCCCTTCGGCTCCTTTTTGGGCCTCTGGAGGCTCCGTTGAAGTTCTCCGGAAGCCGACCCAACAGTCAATTTTATATTTTCAGAATGGGGGTTTATAAAGACTGTAGTAAATTTAATAGTTGAATTCATGAGTCGATCTAAGCGAGACCACTATTGAGAACCTGAAAACACTGGACAGCTGTTTTTTCTTAGATTGAAACTCCTAGGCAGTGCCCAATCACGTAAATGTGAGACTCGAGCCCAGTACTTTCGGTCTCGCTTGGGAACACTTAACCTCTAAAGCGCTGAGCCGGCATTGAAAGGTGTTAACGTTTAACTTTAATGAACCCATGATCTTGCGCAACCCTTCGTCCATTTTCTTGGTGCATTATTATCCGAAGGGGGGTATGTAGAGATTGTAGTAACTTTAATAGTAGAACTTTATATTTGTCCAATCGTTTAGTGCTGATTTGATTCTATCGATCATGTCACAATACGGCGACAAGCCAAAGTAACTTGACATCATACTCATACATAGATACTGTTTCACATTAAAAGATTTATTTATTTATTTAAACGCATAAACGTTGGTACGAGGAGGCATCAAATACATATGCACCACAAAGATCATTCGATCTGTGTGAGGGCTGGAATACTGTCCGGGTGCCCAGACCGAAGTAGATGGTTTTCATAGAGGGCCACTACCCGAGACTTTGACCTAAACGTCTAATGCACAAGACAGTGAAGCAGGGAGATGCAGTCCCATGGTAGCCAGTGACCAACAACCAGTTCATACATCACTTGTTCTCTCAGGATCCTGAATCCCATGTGCACAATTGGATTGAAATCAAGGTTTTCCATCTCCTCTAGATAGATTTTCTGCATCCATAAACCTGGTTAAATCGCCGGACATTTGCTTTTCATCCTCTCGATTTCATGAACAACCGCCCCAACCGTCAGAAGGCAATGAATAGGACTTTCTTGACAGAGGCTGTATACGCGTGACCATATAAGAGCATTTCGAGAGAGAGAGAGAGAGAGGAGAGCTGACTCTCCCCATTTTCAACCATACCACGACATTAAAAGAATCTCCTAATCAATGGTATTATAAAATTACTGCGAACACCTGAATGTATAATCTATCTTTTTTCTCTTCCGATAATGAGTTTATTTTAAATATTAAGTATTGAATATTTGTGACTGATATTATATCAGTGTATTGAGTTACTCTCTATTATATTAGGTATACACGTAAACACTCATTTAATATTGTCATATTAGTGCTAGGAAGCAAGAGCAATATATCTACAACTGAAAAACATCTGAAACTCAAAACAATTTTCAATCAACACCATGGTCAGAATTTTCAATACAAATGTCAAGACAATTCTACTGTATGAGGCAGAAACTTGGAGAACTACGAAAACCATCATCCAGAAGATACAAGTGTTTATTAATAGTTGTCTACGCAAAATACTTCGGATCCGTTGACCAGAGACACTATCACCAACAACCTACTGTGGAAGGGAACAAACCAGATTCCAGTGCAGGAAGAAATCAGGAAGAAGCGATGGAAGTGGATAGGACATACATTGAGGGAAGCACCCAACTGCGTCACAAGACAAGCCCTCACTTGGAATCCTGAATTCCAAAGGAGGATGAGAGGAAGACCAAAGAACACATTACGTCGAGAAATGGAGGCAGACAGACATGAGTGGAATGAACAATAATTAGATAGAACTAGAAAGGAAGTTCCAGGACAGATTGGATTGGAGAATGCTGATCGGCGACCTATACTCCATTCGAAGTAACAAACGTAAGTAAGTAAGTGCTATGAATTACCTACTACTTAAAAAAAAATAACAACTACTCATGGAGAAGATTTATAGCTCAAGTAGATGATTTCAAAGAAATTGTATTCTTTGATCTGGATGAATTGATCATTGTTCATTGTTCTTCTAATTTCATTCAGAAAAAGAACAATGAATGTTTCACAACTAAACCATTCAGTTCAAAAAAACAACGACTCATTTCAATAGGCAATCATAGTCACTTAGAAGAGAACAACTTACATTTTTTCTCAAATTTATCTTATCATTAATCCTATTTATTTGTCTAGATTGAATTTCATATAAATGTGAATAATGACATTGTTTATTTTTATATATTGAAGGCTTGAATTTATTATTGTTGTTTAAATGGTTACTATTCAATTGTGCAAAATGTTTCATTTGTTCAATTGTTTTTTGTCGTTGTTTTAATTGTATTTTTAAATTGGTTATTTGACCGCGTAAATCATCTAATAAATTTGAAAGGATTATTGATTGATTAGAATTTTTTAATTGTTTTAATGATTTTTGTAAAATTTCTGGGTTTTTTGAATTATTTGATGTTAAAATAGAATTTTCATCATTAGATAATAATAAAGGTGAATAAGTTTGATTATGAATACAATAGGAGTTGATATATGATTCTAATGATTGTATACGATCTTCATACTATGGAGATATATAAGAAATAAGTGATAACATTTGTTAGAATTAAGTGATTTAATGAAATAAAACTCAAACATCAAATGCATCGTTTCACATATCATGGGACTAAACTTACCTCATATAGTTTCTGTTATAATTTATGGGTTTGTGTCCTTAACAATCTATAACATAATGATACAGCCAATTATTGAACAGTGATTTATCGACCCGACTAATCAAGTATAAAACCTATACGAAAAGTCCAGAGTCTTAATCGGTACTTCTCCATGCCTAGCCCTGCTTGCTAAGTCCAGAATATCAATCTCAACCTATGCAATATGAATCATGTATTTTAAACATAGTGGGTTTATATACAAACGAAACAGATCACATCGTACCATAAAATACAAAATAAAATCTGTACAAGATTTCACCAAATGTGGCTGGGAATGTGGGAAATAGTAATTGATAGACTATGTATAACTCAATAATGGTAAATCGTATAATAATAGTTCATAGGTTAAAATAAAGCTCATAATGAGAGGGATACGAATATGAATAGTTTAGTTACTTGACAATTATACGACAAAAATATAGGTATAGTATTGGTTCATATAAATGGGTCTCAGAATTTATCATTCATCATTCTTATCGCGATGTAAGAGTTTCAAAGGAAGAAATGTTACCTAAAAGTTATTCAGGGTCCATCTCATATTCTATAAAGTTGAGATATTTATAATAATTAGTAGTAATTATTGTTGCTGATCAAGTTATATTAACATTGGGTCATTAAGAATAACTATCAAATTCCATTTTCAGTAGTTGAGATCATGAGTCAATTCAAACTAGACCAACATGGAAATACTGGGACCACTGGACGGTCGTTTCGTCCTACTATGGGACTCTTCAGCGGTGCTCATCCACGATCCCCCACGAAAGAGATTCGAACCCAAGACCTATCAGTCTCGCTCGTAAGCGTGTAACCACTAGACCACTGAGTCGGACGGCATCAAACGGTGTTAATGACTAACTTCAACAAATCCATAAAATTGAGCGAGACATCCACAATTGTCATCAGTGAGTTACTATCTCATAACAGACCCAGTTGATCCCCGCTGGTCAATGCTTCTCAGTAGAACTCTAGGATATCCCTCTTGAAGCTAGTTACTAGTGAGCATATGTTGATTAGTACCATAAGGGGTTTTCTGGAGATTGTAGTAATTTAATAGTTGAGATCATGAATCAGTTGACTTCTGATATTAAATTCCGATTTGATTAACAGAACTCAATCAGCTCTAAAGACTAGAAAACAATTATATTATTTATTCCTGTTAGAAGTTCAAATAGTTTAAAATTTATCTGTGTTATATTTAATCAAAATGACTTTGTTATCTCGGGAACCGCTGATCAGTGTCTCATGGACTAAGTCACTACACAAAATTCTAATTCCAACTAGTTCTATTTCGTGTTTACTATTTACTCCATAAATTATTGTCGATGACTTAGCCAATTACTCGCTCGACCAGCATCATTAACATTGAACCGGCAAGAGGTTCCTTATTTTATTATTCATTTTAACACATAGATATTGGTACAAGGAGGCACCAAATACATATGCGCCACACAAATCTTATTCGATATGTGTGAGGGCTGTGATACTGCCAGGGTGCCCAAACCGAAGCAGGCGGTTTTCTTTAGGGGGCCACGCCCCGAGCGTTCGACCTGAAGGTCTAATCCACAAGGCAGTGGAGCATCGTAAGGAGATACAGTCCCATGGAAGCCGGTGACCAACAATTGGTTCATACGCCATTTGTTCCCTCAGGATACTAGAACCCATGTGCACCATTGATTTGGAATCTGGTTAAAGCGCCGGACATTCGCTTTTCGTCCTCCCATTTGCGTAAAAAAAAATACCCCAGCCACGAGAAGGCAGTGAGTAGGACTTCCCTGGCAGAGGCTATATACGCGTGGCCATGTGAGAGCAAATCGAGAGGGGGAGCGGACTCTTCGCACTCTCGGCTGTACCAGGGCATTTGGGGGCTACTATTCGCTAGTTCCTCTTTACGCTCTGCCTTGAATTCAGAAGAATTATTTGCATACTTTCCAAAATAGTTATCCGGTTAGTGGATAACATTTTTTATTATAAAACTAAATATTTAACATAATTCGATAGAATATAAATGCTCAGAATACTTTGGAAATTTTAAGTTGACTAAATGTTCCTTAAAAATGTTTGAAAGACATATTTATCAAACTGTCATTATCATAGAGTTGAAGAGGGTGATATGAAGCCATCAAAAATTAAATAGAATAATTGAATCAAGCTGTAATTTAATGGTTATATAACTTGAATTTTAACTATTACATCATAGAATTGAATAGTTCTCCACATATTTCGTTATAAATGGCAGGAAAGTGTAAAACCAAATACTCAAATCTGTAATTGATTTCAGTCAGTAAATCACAACTGACGTAGGATGTAGTATAGATGAACAGTCGGTTTAAATTGTCACATCATATTACCACGATGAGTTTTAATTCACATACATGAACAACAAAAACTTTGAAAGGACAAAGGTACTATTAACAGTAAAGAACAAAAATATAATGAAGAGTTTTAGTATTTTGTGTGTTGTTAAAGAGATGAAAGTTGTTGCTAATTATCGGTTCCCCACATCGTGAAAAGATACTCCTTGAGGGATCTAAAAGGGTTTTATTAACTCTATAAGTGACTGCAGAGACGAAGAGACAACTGCTCGATGCCAGTGACATACGTCCTTTTTTAACAAATTTTTGATGTTTTAGCTTTCTACTTTAGAAGGCTTTAGTGGAAGAAATGGTGATCCATTTGGTAAGGTGAGGTGTAACATTTACAAAGTTGATTTTCTCTTGCCTTTTCCTTTCATTATGAAGAGATAGAATATTTATATTTGGTGTATGGGTAGTAATGGAATTTGACACTCGAGTTGAGTCTTATTTGGACTTCTCAAAACTGATATACCTGTACCCTAGTGTTGATGTTCTTAGTGTGAGTTGAACCTATTATCTTTCGCTTCAAGTGTGCTACTCATCATCCACTGAGTCTCTGAAATTTGGATAGTCATTTTTTTCTCAGGATACTGAAGCCCATATACACCATTGGTTTGAAATCAGGGTATGACAGCATTTCGAGAGAGAGAGAGAGGGAAAGAAAGATAACTAACTCTCCCCAACTCTCGGCCGTACCAGGTCATTTGGAGGCATGATACCCATTTATTCCAATATGTTTTTAAACAGTTTAATATGAAAACCATCATAAACATTTCTTATTCTGAAATCAGTATCCTGTTTTATAAAAAATTTACGAAAATATTTCTATGTTCGTTAACTTTGTTTGTTGTTGAAAAACATATTTGCTCTAATAATGATCTTATTGGAAATGAAGTCAGTTCTTCTTGAACTTATGACCGTAACAAAAAATCGGGTTGAAAAATGCCAATATTAACGATTGTTTCTGTATCCAGCCCTCAAATGCCCTGGTACGGCTGAGAGTGCAAAGAGTTCGCTCTCACATGGCCACGCGTATATAGCCTATGCCAGGGAAGTCCTACTCACTGCCTTCTCGTGACATTACTGTTGTTTACGAAAATGGGAGGACGAAAATCGAATGTTCGGCGCTTTAACCGGGTTGGTTGATATGGAGAGTCCACCTTGTAGAGTTGGAAAACCCTGATCCCAAACCAACGATGCACATGGGCTCCAGTATCCTGAGGGAACGAAGGATATATGAACCAATCGTTGGTCACCAGCTACCACGGGACTGCATCTTGTGACGTTGCTTCACTGCCTTGTGAATCAGACCTTCAGGTCGAAGGCTCCGGGTGTGGTCCCCTAGGAAAACCGCCTGCTTCGGTTTGGGCACCCTGGCAGTATCACAGCCCTCACACATATCAAATGAGATCTCTGTGGTGCATATGTATTTGGTGCTGCCTTTTACCAATATCTATGTGTTAAAATAAATAAATGAATAAATCCGATAAAATCTACTCAAATGAAACAGGCTTTATTATGTCACAAACTAAATAAGTTGACTACTACTACTTTTGATAATTGAGTAGTATGTATATTTTCAAAGACAATATTATGTGTATAAAGTGTACAAAGAGTAGAATGTTAGTTAAAGGTCATGATTTAAAACTTTTCACTTGTAGGTTTGAGTTTCCTTATATCTATATCAGTCTAAATAATTAGTGATTGTACTTAATTAGTGCCAAAAATTCCAGTACAGGAATTTATACATAGTAAATTCTACTGTATATAATCTAGGATATGAGAAGTTTATAGGTTTCTGTAATGTATCTTAGTAATTCTATCTGTCTTCCAAGTTTGTTCAGCTGATTCAAATACAGAAGGTTTGGAAAAATCTTTAATGGTAACAGTTTATTGTGCTTTTCCCTTTTTTTTTCCTAAAGCATAAGTTACGTATAAACAGTGATCTTAGGTGATTAGGCCGAATACGATGAATCTAGATTCTGCGTTGACTAACTGTGGTCAAAAATCTCTAAATGGATTCATGAAAATACGTTTATTCACCGTGGTATTTGAAATCATACAATCAAGTGTCATAGTCAGTCATTTTACTCCTGAACTTATCAGTTTATGATTATGTTAATGCTTGATAAAAACGATTACGTTTTAGTTACCTTATACACTTGAGAATTGAGGAATGATTAAATTACTCTAATAGAAACGGGTTAATTGGGGATATGATGACAGCAGTTGGGACGAAAAACCTCAAACATTTGCCGCCAATACAGATAAATATATAATGTGGGGAAAACCTGATATTTGAATAGAGCATCTTGAAATAGTATAACTCAGCATACGTAGTAACGGGGGGCGGTACCTTAAATTACACATTAAATTAGTGAACCAAATGTAGTGACAGCCAGTCAGAAAAGGTAAAAGACCATGAGAAGAATTTAGTTAGATGATATGTGCCCCCAATTATCATTACTATCTAAATTAACTGAAATTAAACTTGGAAACTACTGAATCCCGGCTAAGCGGTTTAGAGATAAAACGTTTGTAAGCGATATCGAAGACCATAGGTTCGATTCTTGCTCCCGGGTTCATGGACTCGCACTACTGAGGAATCTCATGCTAGGACAAAATAGCTGTTAGCGCTCCCAGGCTCCCAATAGTTGTCTAACTTAGACCTGTTTGTGATTTCAATGAAAAACTGAGTAATCCACTGATCGCATTGACAGAATTATCTTCTGTAGCAGTGAGATTCGTACTCGTCTAGTTTTCAGTGGTGAGCGAATTTTATCGATTATGTTTCAATCCAGCCTAATTCTGAGTAACTTAGAATGTTTTATTGTTAGATGCATTGTTCCTATGACTTGTAGATGTGTTATCGCAATTGGTATAATCATATGATTTAGTTCAAAAATAGTTAAAATGTTCAAAAGTTCCCTTGTTTTTCCTTGACTCAACTAAATCTCTATTGGTATAAAATGAATTTGATAATACAGACAAAAGCTGAAATATGGGACATCTTAGTCATATTTGCTTCATTACCTAGACTAATATTGTAAATGGGTATGGTGTATTAGTAACTAAGCGGATGGTTGCGCAATAATCAGCTCAAAAACTTTGTCTTAATTATTTGATGTTCACCCTTAACCTCTAATATTTAGTTGATGATCTGGAATATTACATGATAGGGATAGTTTATAATAGTAATGCTCAAGAATCAGAAAAAAGTAATATTTTTTCAACTTGAAAGGTGAGCTCGATCGATAGAGCTTAATCGGCACTGAGGACTAAGGAAACATAGTATTTATTGACCACTACTCAGTGGTCATATAAGTGGCCAGCTCACGCCTAAACAGCACAGTGACAGCGATTCGGACGGCGAACCTGAATAACTCTGATCTGAATCCCATTGAAACCATCAGTTTACCCAAAATTCCAAGTACGTCTTGTTGATGAGTTCCATGTAGTACAAAACTTAGGTGAGGTAATTCTTCCTGCCATCGACCTTGAACTATTTAATACCATTAACTCTTGAAGATTGATTGAACGTTAAATTTTAATAAAACAAGAAAAAAACGGTGAATGACACTAATGAATGAGTTACCTGTAATTTAACTCGTTCATACTGTTGCTGAAGTGCACGAATAGCTCGTTTCTCATTTTCATGAGCTCTATCTAATTCTGATTCAAGAAATTTAATTCTTTGAAGAAGAAATGCCTGTTCACTTTCATTTGATAAATCCTTTAAATATTTAAAATAAAATTAGGAATAACGAGAAAAGACGGTAACATTGAAATAATAAGTAAATGTATAGTGACTGATTTTAGCAAGCGGATGTTCTTTGAGCTGGATGGTTTGGTCGTGAAGCTTTCCTCGTTTTTCTGAACGGTATCATCAGCACAAACTTCAGGTAAAATTGAAGTGTTCGAATTTCTTCACATATGGTTCACAGCTTGTTATGTAGACCTCGATGTTGATTGGTTCTTGTTGACTTTAAACCTCTCATTGTTCAGAAGAACGATGAAAGATCCACGACCAAACCATTCAGCGCAGAGAACAAATCTCCATCAAAATTATCCACCTGAGCTACAAATCTTTTCTACCATCTCAATGTAATCTTTATTATGACTCTGGTCATCATTAACGCTTCCATTGTTCAATATGTGTCATTTCCAGGGATTTTCCATTTATTTAGTGGGTTGGTACAATGTTAATTAGAGTGTAATTTTCACTCAAGATTTCATTGAAACCATCATCTGATCTACGATAGACAACCATTGAAAACACTATTGAAATTATCACCATTATAAATGATGCTGTCTGCTATAATTTGGATTAACCGATTAGAGAAGGATGAAAAATCAACTGGATTGGTAGATTAGTGGTTAATGTACTAATTATGTAATCACTGGATGAGTGGTTCGAACCCCACTTTCCGGTACTTCAGTCACGGTTATCGTGTAGCTTCATTAGCACTCATACAAAACGTGTGCCTCAAAAAAAGAGTAGACAATCTTACACTTGGCAAATATGAGGTTGTTAAAATGGTGGTTAACTTTACCATTGAAATCTTCCTAGCAATTGAGTAAAACAATGCACTTTAAGATAGATGACAAATAGCTTGAGTTATCAGCAGCCGTGTGCTATGAATGTGTTCGAAGTAATGCTGTCTAACATGGTGAATGAGAAACACGGATATGGTAAAAGTTATAGCTTCAAACGAAATCATGAACTGTCAGTATGTGGTTGTGTTGGATGTTGGATTTCATTGTAACCATGGTCTGATCTGAGTTAGACAACCATTGAAAACACGTAGGCATTGGACGACTGCTTCGATCTAATTTGAGACTCTTCACCAGTTCGCATCCACGACCACACAAGCAGTAATCGAACCCAGAATCTCGCGCACAGATGCCTAACCTATAGGGCACTAAGCTGATATCTAACAGTGGTAATGTCCAGCTTCAATCAATCTACGAAGTTAATCAAGCGATGTCGTGGATTATTTAAAGTTGAACGTTACCACTGTTGGATTTCAGCTAAATGGTCTAGAATTTAGGCGTCCGTGAGCGAGATAGGTTTTGAATTCGATTACTTCTTGTGTGGTCGTGGATGCGAACTGGTGAAGAGTCTCAAATTAGATCGAAGCAGTCGTCCAATGCCTACGTGTTTTCAATGGTTGTCTAACTCAGATCAGACCATGGTTACAATGAAATCCAACATCCAACACAACCACATACTGACAGTTCATGATTTCGTTTGAAGCTATAACTTTTACCATATCCGTGTTTCTCATTCACCATGTTAGACAGCATTACTTCGAACACATTCATAGCACACGGCTGCTGATAACTCAAGCTATTTGTCATCTATCTTAAAGTGCATTGTTTTACTCAATTGCTAGGAAGATTTCAATGGTAAAGTTAACCACCATTTTAACAACCTCATATTTGCCAAGTGTAAGATTGTCTACTCTTTTTTTGAGGCACACGTTTTGTATGAGTGCTAATGAAGCTACACGATAACCGTGACTGAAGTACCGGAAAGTGGGGTTCGAACCACTCATCCAGTGATTACATAATTAGTACATTAACCACTAATCTACCAATCCAGTTGATTTTTCATCCTTCTCTAATCGGTTAATCCAAATTATAGCAGACAGCATCATTTATAATGGTGATAATTTCAATAGTGTTGAACTGAAAAAATTGGGAAATGGCGTCAAACATTTAACTTTATGATCATTATTACAATATGGTAAATTTTGAGTGGTATATCAGGTCACTTCAATGGTATAATTAACTTTTAGGTAAATACATTCAAAAGATGAAACTCTCCAAGTCTAGACTTCCAACCTATCGGCTCTCATCAATATCATCTGTAACATGTAAGTAATTGATGCCACGTCAAAGACTTTCAGTTTATCCTTACACTACTGAGGACGTTACGTAACGAATATCAGTCACAGTGTAAAGTAGTGATAAGTAACTTAGCGTACAGATGAGATCATATTTTTAATTGAAGTAATTAAATGCGAAGAAAATTTATTTCTACGAAATCGGTATTTACCGCATCTAATTTCTTTATACAAAACAGCTTAGTGTATTCTGTACGGCTTGCCTTGATGTTGCCCTAATTCACAAGGAATATCGAGGCAGTGTGCAGAGGATGCACATATGCTAATGAGAGACTGATCAATTTCAGTCCTAAACATCGATGAGAAGATTCAAGTAAACAATATCAAATGAATTTAAACTTCCCCTTATTGCATCAGCAAGTGGCTATCAAGACTGAGTACCTAAGTGGATAACGCGATGGCTTTTGAAGCAAATGGTACTGAGCTCGGGTCCCGGGGTGAACATCAATTCTGGAATACTGGTACATCCAGTTGACGAGTCCCAAGTGGGATGACGCTCGAGACCTGGATTCCACTCCCAGCCACCAATTATCTTGGCTTATAATTCATTCATTAGTGAAGGGGGAAATTCAATGGAATTATCGCGAAAACAATCGGAAGTAAAATAATTAACGAAGTCTAAAATATAATCTAAAGAGTGAGAACATTAACAATGGACAGAAAATCCTAGATTATCATAACACTTAATTAGAATTACGGTAAAAAGATGGTACAATATATAGTGAGACTATGATTCATGAACGACCTTTGAGCGATGCTAAAGTGACTTTAAGAAGATCCACATACTAACTAGGATTAAATGAGGGTTAGAAACCAGTGTGAGGAATTAGAATTAGAATTTACAGTTGATGGTTGCGGTTTAGAATTAGACTTAGAGTTTTCATCGCCAAGTGACATCAGCTATAATGCCAAGACGCTATTTAGCCAAATGTATGAATGAATTTCGCGCCAAAATCCAAGACCTGTTATTTTATATATCATTGGTTCGTCCTCAAATTATAGTCTCACTATAATGCATGTATATGTTTATATCTTACAGACATACAATTCAAACTTCATAGATAAACATTGTACTGCTTTTAAGAATTGAAAACAATAATTTGAATGAATTCAATAAACAACTTTTAAATCTCTGTATGTGAGTTAACTGGATAAAAGTACAAGATAGGAATGAAACAAACAGAGTTGATGATTTTGGTTATTACCCTGAAGAAGTTCAGACAAGTTTGCTGGATGAAACGTCGGAATTATCTAAATTTATCTAACTTAAATGGAACAGAAAAATTAACCTTTAACACTAAATTATTTGCTTCCTAATATAACCTTGAGATGACACATTTTCTCGGCAGTGCGCACCCACGATCCCGCTTGCGCACTGCCGAGGAGTCCCACAATAGGACAAGACGGCCGTCTATTGCTTCCGGGTTTTCAATGTTGTTCTAAGAATAATCGGTTCATGGTCTCAATCAAAAACTTAACAATCTTCACAACTCCTAAACAAATTTATTTATTAATGTTTTCACGTATTACAGACAGAATAACCTGTGGAAAACGTCAATAGAATAATTATGTAACATTGTAGTGAACAACACCTTAGATGAGGACAACGGATTTATTATTTAATACGAAATTATAGAATACCTTCGTAAGATATGAAAACTATACATTAATACTTCATTTTCAAATCTTCCATCAATTGTCCTTCACATTCCCTATGATTCTTCCAATACTCGATTCCTTTCTATTCTCTTTTCTGTTTTCTCCAACTCACTTTTCTTAACCATCTGCTGACATGCATTCCACTTCAGACTGGTGTTACATACTATTTAAGTATGTCGACATAAGTAGCATACAACACAACATTATTGTAATACTGTTGTTTTTCCCCCCAGAAAACTATTTGGTTACAATAATTGTTTTCATATTAGCTAACACTAGTCTAGAATTCATTACAGTTAATTTAAAAGTGTCTAAAACTCATCTTTATACCTTGCACATATTGATTAATAAGATGATTATGACCACTTAAATCTTTCATGAACAAATTCTAACCACTTTCCTAATAAACGACGTTTGAGGTGGATAAGACATGCATTTTAGATATCTTCTAAATGCATCATGAGGCAAACGCTAACTTGGATTCCTGGAGGAATACGAAAAAGAGGAAGACCAAAGAACACACCATATTGGGAATTCAAAGCAGATATGGAAAGGATTGTCCAGGACAGAGGTCGATAGAGAATGCTGGTGGAGGGCCTATGCTTTTCCATGAGGAGTAACAGATGTAAGTAAGTTCCCCGTAAATATATAAATTCAAATTGAATTATGTTAAGAGTATAAAACTTTCTACAGTTATACACTGATAGACATGTGTCATTTTCCTACTGTGGTGTATGCCACTGATCTAGACAGATATAAGTAGTATGTATTACCAATCGAAAGTGAAATCCCTGGCTGCAGAAGATTAAGAAAATCAAAGAAAAGAGAACGAGAACAGAGAATGATTGATGTGGAAATGAAGAAACAATAAAGTCTGAGACAATTGATTGACATTTTGCAAATAAAGTATTTACTGTATGGTTCTCAGATTTCACTAAGAGATTCTGTAATTCCTCATTCCAATACATCCAATTGTGTTCTCGTTCACTACACTACTCAATAAAAGGAAACGAATCAAATTTCAAATAAATTTAACAAGTTCATAGCATGAGGTTTGATACTGATGTCTTCATAATTAAATGAAAAAGAATCAGTTACGGCGAGACTATAATTTATGGACGCCCCAATCAGGTAAAAGATAACAGGCCTTAGATTATGATGCAAAATTCATTCATCCATTTGGCTAAATAGATTCTTGGCATTATAGCTGATGTCAGTTCGTGATGAAAACCTCGAATCTAATTCCTAACCTTGACAATCAACTGTAAAGCGTAATTTTAATTCCTTACACAGGTTTATCATCTTCATTTAGTCCTAGTTATTAAGTGGACCCTCTCAAGGTCATTTTAGCATCGCTCAAAAGTTATCCATAAATTATAGTCTCATCTTGGTTACTAGTCAATAGATAAGTCGTTTTTATCGGAAATGAAAAGAGAGAAAAAACGACCAGAAAGTAGGAAATAAGAAATAAAGAAACAAAAATATATTTGTTCATAAATATAAACAAAGAGAGAAAGAAAATTCAATATTCAATTAACTGATTTGTTGTTGTCAGGATGAAAATAAAAAGAAACAATGTCACATTCTTGTTGTTATATGATCAATTTACACTTTGAATAAACAATATTGATCGAAATAGTTCATTTAACCGTTACTATAAGATTTATTTTTTTAAAAATTTTTATTGGTATCAGGGATTGAAACAATCATAGTAACTAATTGAAAAGAGGGGTGGATAGATAATAAAACACTTTGATATAGTTGAAATAATAAATAATCGATTCATTAATTCATTGTAACAAATTAACATTATTAGGAAACAAATGAATCTAATTGACCAGTTAGTTGTAGGAAGAACTATATGTTCCAAACGGTAATATTTATCAAGGCAAATACTGCTAATAATACTACTGTTGTGAACAAAACACGGGCGGGGACAACCGAATGTATTTAGCACAAAATTACAGAGTTACTCGGTAAAATAGAAAAACACTATAGTAAATCGTTAGTTTGCAAAATATCAATCCATCATAACAAACAGGACTGTTTCTGTTGCAATCATCAATCCATTGTCTCACATTTCATTGTTTATCTGTTTTTTTACAAATTGCATTGTGTTCCCGCTCTTTCTTTCTTGATCTTCCCCCATCTTCTGCTGCCAGACATTACGTTCTTTAACTCGCGTCATATACTACTTACATCAATATGAGTAGCACGCATGACACTACTACAATGTATTTATGTGAATGACTAAATACAATATATTACATTTCGTTCTATGACACTATTCAATAAAGTTTCAACTCAACAACTTATTCAATTAAAAACACACTACATAAAATGAATGATCTTATGAACATTACGATTACCAGGTATACTGAGATATAAAATCAATCAGATCATTTGTCGACTCAAAGATAACGTAATATATAGAATTATATCAATTATGTGTGATTGCTAATTATAATAAATGAATCAAATTAAAGTTGTGGAATTAGACCACCATTGAAAACCTGGAAGCACTGAACGGTCGTTTCGTCATATTGTGGGACTCCTCAGCAGTGTGCATCCACGATCCCGTCTGACGAGGAACTACCAGTCTCGCGCGCGAGCGCTTAACCTCTAGACCACTGAGCCAGCAACCAACGGTGTTACCATGTGCTCACTAATGACTAGCTTCGTGAGGGATTTCTCGGAGTTCTAGTGAGAAGCCGTGACCAGCGGAGCTAATCCGTGTCGGGCAGAGACAGATATCTACTTCAGTACAATGGAAGATGGTTGCGCGATTTCGCGGATTGGTTGAGGTTAGACATCAACATCGTTGGATGCCGACTCAGTGGTCTAGTGGTTAAGTGTTCACGCGTAAAACCGAAGGCCCTGGGTTCGAATTCCGAGAGTGGGATCATGGATGTGCACTGCTGACAACTCCAACAACAGAACGAAACGGCTGTCCAGTGCTTCCAAAATTTCAATGATGGTTTAACATCAATCCATCAATGATCTCAATCAAAAACTTAATAATATCCACAACCCTATACTGATAAAGTTGTGGAAACCAAGAAAATGTCAATTTGTGATGATTACTGACTTATTGAGCCTGAGCATAAAGTTGGATTTAATCCCTGATGAAGTTATGAACCTGTACTGCTATTCAATATTAAGACAAAATCACCATCTAATGCTCTCTAGTTCTCAATGATTATCTAGCTAAGAGCAGTTCGTGATGCAAACTTGAAAATAGAAGAAACTGACTATAGTCCTTTTGAAAATAGAATATTGATAACATTGTGTAAAACGTTCATTTTCTTTTACTTCAAACTGGCAATAAAGTGATAATTTTGAAAAGAACATGAACAAAGATTCTAGCATAATAGCATGAATTCATTTTATTTCGTAGGTTCTCGTCAGCTGTTTACAATCTGTGATATTTAAAGTCATAATTACATAATGGGTTTAAATTACTTACACGAAAGGGTTTAGTTGGAAGTTATATTGAAGTTATATTAGTACAGTGTAGCAAAGATGTAAATAAAATTAATAGACTGAATACTGTAAATATATACCTTATGTGAAAGAACATTCTACAACATTGATTGTGACAACAGTTCAAACGGCCAGAAACAAGTGATTACATAATGAGTAAACGTTGATAGGAATAAAATGAGTAGAGTTCAGTTGATAAAACAAGATTATTAATTTGGAAGATAGTTGAAATAAAACTCAATGATGTAATAAATGCAAGAAAGAGTTTAAAGAAAAAGAAAAAAACATTTTGAGATGCATTGAAGAAATATTTATCACTAAGGCAAGAGAAGATTAATAACCATCTCCTTTTGAACACATAAGTCAGGTTTCTGACGCCTGATAGCAACGGCGTCAGAAAACTGGAGATTGACTGTTCACTAATCACTTCGAATAATTGCAAGGTATCCACCTGATGTCCTGTATCAAAGAGATATTTAGTAATTGCACTGTTTAGAGTCCTATAATTTTAAATATCACAGGTTGTGAGCAGCTGACGAAACCCAACGAAGTAAAATGAATGTTTGTTCTTGCTCTTTTCAAAATGATAAAGGGAACTGTGTGTATAAAAGTGATCATTTTCCTGATGTATTATCTTGTGCTGTAGAAATTTTTATATTCGAAGTTCACATCACAAATTGATTTAAGTCGGACAACCATTAAAAAGATAGAAAGTATTGAATGGCTGTTTCCTTATCCTATGAGACATTGCAGCAACGTACATAGTCATAAACCCAATAATTATAAAAAAAAACTGATTACTATGCACAAATGATTGTTCATCATTTTCCCAGTATTAAAGTCAAACATTCGATTCATTCAAAGGGACTTGGATATTCTTCCATTTCGCTCTGAGGAAAATTAATTGTCCATACACAGAATTCTTCTGAAAGACAGATTCCTTTCAAATTGTAAGAATATGTGCTATATCACATCATTATTATCTTACGACTTCCGATTTATTCCGTCCAATTTTATTCAAAGTCTATGCAAGAAAGTCACTTTGGTAAGTTGTCCTTTAAATTCAGTTAGAAAAAACTAATCTGACTTACCTTACTGTTATGTGGCTGTTTTGATTCACTCGACTTGGGACCAGAAACCTTTTTACTTTTAAAATATGATAATTCTGCTTGCAATTTTTCCAATTCTCTAGCCTATACCCGAAAAAGAACAAGAGACAATTATTGAGAAGTATTGCAAGTCAAGATAATTCACTAAATTTTGTTTGACCTCAAACCATTACTTAAATGGCTACAACATTTAAACTAGTGTTTAACCTCATCATATTAATTGAATTTATCGCAATATTTAAATAACGCTTAATTAAAAGTAGCAAACTACGACCTGAGGCATCCTCATAGAGCTGGTGGACAGTTGGGGCAACCTTGCTGGCCAACCAAGCCAGTCGACGGAGATCGGACTGATTATCCATTCTGTTTTATCTTTAATCAACCCAGGTTCCAATTCGAGGCCCACTCATCTGATATGTATGCTAATGGGACTCCTCAGCAGTGAGCATGCACGATCCCCCACAAAAAAAGATTAAAACCCAGGAATTATCAGTCTTGTGCGTGAGCGCCTAACCACTAGACCACTGAGCCGGCCGGCATCCAACAGTGTTTTTGTCTAACTTCAGCCAATCCACGAAATTCAGCGACACATCCATCATTGTCATCAGTGAGTTACTACCTCACAACGGACCAGGTTGAACTCAACTGGTCACTGCTTCTCACTAGAATATACCTGTTGAAGCCAGTCACTAGTGAGCATATATTGATTAATATCAGAATTGGTTTTTGTGGATATTATAGTAATTTCATTTGATGAGATCATGAATCATTTGAAGCTAGGCCACCATAGAAAACCTGGAAGATTAGCATACTATTAAAACAGGTAATTCGACCAGAAGGTCAATTTTTAAAAAATCAGGAAGAATTTCGAAATTGTTTTATCTGAATATAGAATTCCTTAGTATCGTGTACACAGGACCGCAAAACAAAGATCGGCAGATTACATGATAAATAGATCCTCTTTAGATTCCTCAATCGGCATCTAACAACTTATATTTGATTTCATTGATAACAGTTTCACATTCGACATATTGTTGAACTTCATCGATAATCAATATGCCTTCATTTGTCAACTGGAACTTCATTGAAGATAACTTGTCATCAAAGAATATATAGCAACTCACGCGCAATTGAGTTGGTTCACATTCGGTTAAGTCATTTTGTTAACTTATTAACGAACTGAGTCATCCGTACAACAACAACTTATCTATATCATTGTATCTTTATTATTGTTGCGAATGTATGAACATGTATACTTGAGCATTGCTTACTACCTACACATTTATTCACGTTGCTAGCCTTACTATTAAGTGCTTACTTGATTTAATGATTCGTTCATTTCACTATGTATATATATGTCCATGTTATTCATGTTCATTGCTCTCTCTCGCTTATCTGTACTCACTTGTACTCATATTCGCTGACTCACTCGCTCGCTTGCTTACCTGCTTGCCTTTCTGCACTACTCTTTCATGCTTGTTTGACGCACCTGTAATTTTGGATATCTGTGTGTGTGGTCCCATAATAAACATAAGCAACACTTCGTATTCGCCTTTTGATTAATATACCGTTGGGGTGTTATCTAGTGACGGTTATCAAGACGAACTGTATACGAAGTTTACGGATTATATTGAATACCGACCACCACAAATACTCTTCAACCCTAATCATTAACAAGTACATGATAGTTGTTCATCCAAAAAATCAATATACGATACAAATCATCATTAAACAATTAATTCCACATAGAAATAAAATTGTTTCAATGTACTTGGTTTTGTAATTTCTTTGAATCTTTAATGATTATTGATTGATTTTCAATATACCAACGTAATTTCTTTTGAAGATCTTCTATTTGACATAAATATGTTTCTTTCATATTTGTACAATCTGTTTGAGATTTTTCTTTAAAATTTTCATATCTTTCTAATAAATCATTTTTCTCACGTATATGATTATTCATCTAGAAATAAATAAAAAGGGTATATTTAGATAGTGGTCGGAGGTAGTCGACAAGAAATCCTGGACCTGGTTTTCGTGCTACTTGACACTTGTCAGCAAGGTTTACCTGTAATCTTGAGGGAATTGGTGCTCTCTGGCGGACTCGATCTCGTGTCACCCAGCTTCACAGTCAGAGACGTTACCATTGAGCTATCCGAGCCGTGACCAACCTCCTGTAGGACTGAGATGTAATCACAATTGATTGATCACTGGGTGGTGATCAATGTCATGCTTGTCTAGTCCTTATTAGTGCAGACCGAATGCGAACGACGATGTCGCAATGTGGCCACCAGTCTAGGTGACTCGACACTGCGTGCACTATTGTGAGATTAGATGGTAGTTGGAGGTAGTCGACAGGGTATATTTATTTATATTTATTTACTTATAAGAACTTAAAAGTAGTATGTATATGTGTGGTTTGATGGAGTTTTGTTCGTTGGGTTGGATGGTTTGATCATGGAACTTTTATTGTTCTTCTGAACAACATCGTCAACACAAACTTCAGGTAGAAGTTTATTTGATGTGAGGTGGCTCGTGGATCTGACTCCAATATCGTATAAATGTTTGCTATCGCTGATTCTCGTATATAATAGTCGACTTAAATCGCGTTATCCAATAACGGAATTAAATAAGTCGAATAACGAGAATTGACTTGAGAACAAATATATTTTGTATATGAAGTGAATGAAACAGAGCCAAGCAAAATGACGCACAGGGAGGATGGCTGGGAAGCCAACTACATCTTTGTCAAGCGTTACTCAATATTTATAGTCAGACAAAATAAAGCTACAGACATGTGATTAATGGAATAAGAAGGGCACACACATATACGCTCATATAAAAACAGTCAAGACTGACAAGCGAATAATTGACAAGGTCAAAATATGGCTCAAGTAAAATGAATAAAATAGGATGTCCGGAAGTTAGAATAAGGTATATGGGCTTGCCATAAAAACTGACACTACATAGCCCCCTTGTAGAAAATAGCACATTTAAAAAATGTCTGTTTTCGAAAATAACACTGAAGTGATATGAAGTTAACGCTAACACTAAGTAGCCAAAAAAAAATTGTACAACACTCGATAAAGTACAATGTCACATGAGAGGTGAGTGTATTATATGAAAATGTCATACTTATGCAAAAGAATACATGAATATAGAAAAGACGCGGACAAAAATGGGAACGTTAGCATGCGAATATGAGCAAATTAATGAGCGTACAAAAAATTAACATGTACTAATGCTATGACTGTCTGAACGATAAAATAACACGATTGTATGAGTGATTCAAATTATCGTGAAAATAATAATAAATTGTTTGTGGATATGACAGGGAAATAAATCATGAAGATAAGTAGAGTAGGATACGACAGAAATTGGTCTGTGATGCCGACAGGATAGTGAAATATGTTAAATATATGTTCTGTTGAGCCGCAGCAGAATAAATAGCATCGACTAGTGATGAGTGAATTCGAATTTAAATGCGTAGGATGATAATAGGAAAGTCGTGAAATGATATCTGCATCGACGGGTGATATTCGTTGCTGTACTGCAATTTATAATAATCATAAAATATGAAGTCAGTGAACGTTATCGTCTGCGTTATGACAGATGCACCGAGTTATCGTTGAATATGTATTAGTAGAATGACCAGAGGAACAGAATAGTGACTGAGTAGACGAGGTACGTAGAGTTGTATTCCTTTTTGGTCATGAAGCCTAGAGTGGTTTGTGTGGTTTGAGGGAGATGCGCTCGATCTCGTTGGTTACAAAACAGTACCAAGGCATGACGAAAATACCAATACATATGATTAGTGATGCCGACGTATGTGACTGACTTGGATGTGACGAACAAGAGTGTATCTTTGAGAGGCTAGCTCTAAACTCTATGTTCTGATATACCGAGCGATGGGTATAGAATAGAATAGTAGTTGCAGTACTCGAATAGCGTTTTTGAGTGATAAGTGATGCAGCATGTATTTATGCACGTGGAAGAATAGATAAAATGAGCGTAATGGTTACTAATCAGCTAGTCAGAAGCATCGACAGACATAATAGGAGGCTAATAAGCGAATAATTGACAAGGTCAAAATATGGCTCAAGTAAAATGAATAAAATAGGATGTCCGGAAGTTAGAATAAGGTATATGGGCTTGCCATAATAACTGACACTACAGATGTACAACAAAGACTGGACAAAATTTGAATCTGAATATCAACGGTCAGATAATTATTATCTCAACTAATAATGACATCAGAAAGTTAGGTTGAAAATAATTTTCATTCCGGGCTTACTGGGTAGTTAGTTCGCCAGCTGGTAATAGATAACAAAAGATGTTAAAAGTGAATAGGACATACATTACGAAAATCATCAAACTACATCACGAGGCAAGTCATAACTTGGAATCCTGAGAAGAAACGAAAAAAAGAAAGGTTAAAGAACTCACTGCGTCGAGAATTGGTAGCAGATATGAAAAGGATGAATAACAACTCGAGAGGATTGTTCAGGACAGAGTTGGATAAAGAATGCTAAGGGGTGGCCTATGCTCCTCTACGAGGCGCAAGTAAGTACTAGTAATTAATATCAAATATCTGCCTACAATTCACTTAGTATTGTTTGGCTTGTATCTTCCCATTGAGTTTTAAGACTGCGATTGATCAGTCTGTTATTGGCATATGTGCATACTGTGCGTGTGCATCGATATAGCCTTAAATCACAAGCTATTTGTAAGTAATGATGGATAGTGGCTAGCAGTGGAATCCAGGACGTGCGTTTTGTCCAATTTGGGACTCGTCAGCTAGATCTGCCTAGAATTCATTAATTTTTAATAGTTAACTAGTTCATCTCAAATGGTCAGTACTCATATTCATCTACATATATCTCCACACAAACGTGCACACATGCACACACACATACAGGCGAATAAAACTGTACGACTTTAACAGGATATTCACTTACTTTTAAATTCATGTTTGTCAACTCTAAACGTGTATCATTTAATTCTTTTGTTAACTTATTTCTCTCATTATCCAATTGTTTATTCAGTTCTTGTAATTCATTTATTCGATTTTCTGTCATAAATATAAGACGAAATATTAAATATATGTCTGATATGATCAATATTATCATGATCATTATTATGGTTGTTATGCTCACTATTCACAATTTACTGTTTTATGATTAAATATTCATAAAATTCCATTCTAATTATTGTGATACAGAAGTAAATTTGATACATAGTTCACATACAGAGATGATGGTAACTAACAATGGAATTTAGAACGTGAGTTTCATCCTATTTGAGATTCGTCAGCGAAATGTACCTAGACCTCAAAGTTGGTGTTCACTCTGGGACTCGAACTCTGTAACTTTTGCTTCAAACGCTATCGTGTTATATACTTAGTTACTAGATTGTGTAATGGGGTACAATTTAATTTATTTCTTCATTGGTTGTTTAAATCATTCCATTGATGTTTAAGAAGGTAAATGATCAATTTCTTATTGATGTATGTGCGCATCCTGAATTCCACTGCTAGTCACTAACATCTCTGCTTATAGTGTTTGTGACTTAAGGCCATATCTACGTCGAAGGTGGATAGGAAATACATTGTGGAAATCAACAAACTACAGAACGAGAAAATCGCTAACCTGGAATCCTGAAGGGTAACAGAAAAGAATAAGATCAAAGAACACATTAATCAGTTAAGATGGCTGGAACACGTGTTACGTATACCCAACCACCAACCAGACCAAAACATTGCACAAATCTATGAAGTCACTGACAACTGGACTAAGCCATGTTGGTAGGTGTAGACTACCTGGTTAGGATCCGCGAGATGATAGCAACCGATGGTTAGAGACCTAAAATGACATGATTCAAAATCGTTTGCAATGGCGCAGGTGCATCCACTCTTTGTGTTCTCCTAAATTCTAATCTTCTGAATTCTTCATGTTCCTTTTTTCTCTTTCCAAATTTATTTCACTGGATTATACTCTTTGAATAACATCTTCAAACCCTAATGTTTCCGACTACTACTTATACTTTTACTACCTCTACCACTATGTGATTTGAATTGACAATTGTATCTCTGTGCTAATGTAATGTGGTATGGCAACTCGAACTGATGTACATACGCATGAAGTTCTACGTTGTAACTGACTGACTGACTGACAGAAAGAACACAATGTGTTGAGAATTAGAAGCAGATATGAGAAGGATGAATAGGAACTGGGAAGGATTGCGCAGGACAGGCTTGGATGGAGAGTGCTGATGAGCAGTCCATGCTCCTTCACGAGAGGTAACAGGTATACATATATATAGTTGTTTATTGGAAAATAGGATAGTTATTATGGGTTCACCAAATTGTTAATGAACCTGAAAGGACTATCATTTTTCATTAGGTATTTGTTTGCATTTATTCTGCCCATTTTTCAACGTATCATCAGTGCAATGTAAGTCACTAATTGAATGTAAATTATTGTACTCAACTTCGAGCTACATGTTTTGTACATTAGAAATTATTGGTAATACTCGTATATACAAACCAAAGTAGGTTCAAGAATGTTTTAACAAATAAATTGTATCTTTACTCTAATCACAATGGTATTTTATAGACTTGATTACCTATTGAGAAAAAGGAGTCAATAAAACAGAGAATTATTTACGGAAGAATTATATTTCTTCTGAAATATGAGCATCTTTGCTGAATTGAATTTATACAATTTCGGTTACAGTTTGATAATGAATCTTTTCATTGATTATAAGCAAAACTGAACTTTTAAGAGAAAATAAAAAAAGGGACTTCAACATTCAATGTATTTTCCCATAGATCATAGGGTAACTACTATTGTGGTGCGTGCTACTTATATTGATATAAGTAGTATATAACGCGAGGTAAACAACATAATGTCTGGCCACAGAAGATGGGGGAAGATCAAGAAAGGAAGAGCGAGAACACAATGGAATTTGTAAGAAACCGAACGAACAATGAAATGTGAGACAATGGATTGATGTTTGCAACGGCAACAGTCAGGTTTGATATGATGAAATGATATTTTGCAAATTAACGATTTACTATATGGTTTTTTTATTTTAACAAGTAACTGTAATTTTATGCTTAATGCAATTCGGTTTACCTTGATTCAATCTTGAATTCCCAGATAACATGGTACATATTTGTTGACTACGCAATTTTAATTCTTTATTTAATTGTTCCACTTCAACTCTTAAAGAAAGATTTTCATTAGTAAGACGTTTTGCTGTCTGTGAATCTTCGGTTTCAGTTTGCTTATCCTAAATTTAAAAAAGGAAGGGATAAGAAACAAACTAATATGAAATGTATCAGAAGGAGTTTTCTGGAGATTGTAGTAATTTCAATAGTTGAGATGATGAGTTAATTGAAGCATAAAACCATAGAAAACCTGGAAGCAATAGACGATCGTTTCGTCCTATTGTAAGACTACTCAGAAGTGCGCATCCACGATCCCCCACAGAAGAGATTCAAACACAGGAACTATCAGTCTCGTACACGAACGCTTAACCACTAGACCACTGAGCCGGCATCCAACGGTGGTAATATCTAGCTTCAACTAATCCACGACACATCTATCGATGTCATCAGTGAGCTACTATCTCACAACAGACCTGGTTGAATTGAGGAGTCCCACAATAAGACGAAACGACCATCCAGTGCTTTCAGGTTTTCCATGGTAGTCTAGCTTCAATTGACTCGTGATCTCAATTATTGTAATATGAAATGTGTTAAGATAAGATAAAAATACTAAGTCATTTAGTATACTAATTGCTTAATATAATATTTGTTTAATTTCAGTGTGATATATGATATATTTGTAATAACTTAATGTGAATTTCATTCGGTTTTGAATTACTTTAGTGTAAAATACATTTTTGTATTTCTCCAGTTTGTGATTACTCAATAAATGTCAGTAAAATCAGTGCATAAATAATTACATATTGATTACAGAGTTATTCTCATGTTTTTAATTTTGATGATGAGTAAAATATTTCTCCGCCATCAGTCTTCTTCTCCTCTTTGCGTTGCCCGGATCAATTGTTACTGAAAGAACCAATACCATAGATTACTGGTTTTCCATGGTTATAACAACTGAAGGTGTGTTGAACCTTCAATGAGTACTTCTTTGAACAGTTAGGAGACCTAATAATTTTTTTGATTGGGATTATGAACCGTTAGACCACCAGTGAAAATCTGGAAGCACTGAACGGCCGTTTCGCTGTATTGTGGAACTCTTCAACAGTGCGCATCCACGATCCCGCTCGCGGAATTTGAATACAGGGCCTCTGGTCTCGGGTGCGAGCACTTAACCTCTAGATCACGGTGTTAGTGTCTAATCTCAACCAATCCACGAAATTGCACAACCATCTTCCATTGTACTGAAGTAGTTACCTGTCGCTATCCAACATGGATTAGCTCCACTGGTCACGGCTTCTCACTAGAACTCCGAGAACTCCCTCAAGAAGCTGTTCACTAGTAAACACATGGTGATTATTAATATGGGGTTGTGGAGATTAATAAGTTTTCGATTGAGGTCATGAACTGATTGGTGTTAGATCACCATCGAAAACCTGTAAGCCTTAATAAATTATCTGGATAAAGGATATAACAATAGACGACATACTTTTGACAGAAAAACACAAACTAACTTTATGTAATTTTTTAACAGTTGCATACAACTTTTCATTTTCACGTTGATAACCTGCAATCAGTAATTCTTGCTTTTCATATTCTTTTTTCAGTTCATCCATATTAGTGAAATTTTGCATGGGTTTAATACACTTGTCAGTATTCGATTCTGCATCATTATTCCTTCTAACATTCACTTCGTTAACTTCTGTATTTACGTTGGCTAGTTTTTCGTCATCATGACTTATTTTATCGTTATAATGTGAATTGCCCTATTTCGTAAAAGAAAAGTTGAACAATATTTGAAAAACATATATAGTCAGTAAAATTTCATATACAACATTGTACTACTTGTTTTTTATTAAAGTAGAATATTATTATTATCAAAAAATATTTCAACCAAGAAGATTGATTCACACGTAATTGTACATATGATATAACCAAGATAAACGAGTGCAAAACAAATAATGTAGCTTTAAAAACCCAGATTTTATATGGGATTCAAACACCTATACATTCATTAACATAAATAACAGCTAAGAATGACAACATTTCATATCCAGTCAACAGGAGTGAAGTATATTGGAGCGTTGATGTGCAAGGTAAATATTACTGGTAGTTAGCAGAGTACTTAATTGATTGAATTGCAAGAATATCAACTATGACATTAAAATAGAAGTAATTATAACTAAAAGCTAAATCATTTCCAAGTGTAGGCTTGCAACAACAATTGCAGGAGAAGACGACTAGTGTAACAGCAGCCTCAACAGCAGTAGGATTCAATATACACAAAGGGAAATGCAAAATTCTCCGATACAACACAACATGCATCAATCAAATCACACTTGACGGAGAAGATATGTAAGATGTAAAAACCTTTACATAGTTGGGCAGTATCATTGATGAATAGGGTCAATTTGGTGTAGATGTGAAGGAGCGGATCGGTAGAGCAAGAACAGCATATCTACAATTGAGGAACATCTGGAACTCAAAACAACTGCATGTCAACCAGCATCAAGGTCAGAATTTTCTATACAGATTTCAAGACAGTTCTACTGTAGGCAGCGAAAAACTGGAGAACTACGAAAGCCATCATCCAGAAGATACAAGTGTTTATTAACAGTTGTCTACACAAAATACTTCGGATCCGTTGGTTGGACACTATCAACAACAACCTACTGTGGGGGGGGAACAAACCAGATTCCAGTGAAGGAGGAAATCAGGATGAATCGCTGGAAGTGGATAGGACACACATTGAGGAAAGCACCCAACTGCACCACAAGGCAAGCCCTCACTTGGATCCTCAAGGTCAAAGGAGGAGAGGAATGCCAAAGAACACATCAAGCCGGGAAATGGAGATAGACATGAGAAAAATGAACAAGAATTGAATGGAACTAGAAAAGAAGGTCCAGGACAGATTGGGTTGTAGAATGCTGGTCGGCGACCTATGCTCTATTAAGAGTAACGGGCGTAAGTAAGTAAGTTAATCATTTCAAGCAACCGCACGAAGGAATATACCATGATACAGCATTGACCGAAAGGGCTATATCTTTATTTAAATTGAAATAAGGAATTCAATTTACTTATAAATTCTGGTTTTAATCCAAAGAGAACTATTGAATAAGGTAGAACAGAATAAGTAGATTATGTATAAATTAACCATAAATCTGATGATATTTGTTACAAAAGTGTGTTGACTCAATATTAACCATCATTTTAGAAATGTAAGCCTAAATTAAGTAGAAGATTTGAGATTGAATAAGAATGAAATAACATTAAAAGGACTGTGTATTTTAAAAGTATTAGGATTAGATGAGTATGCTTTGGTCGTTAAGAGTAGCTTTGATCTATATCAAAAAGTTTTATGATTTTTGAGAACCTAAACGACTGAAATTTATTTCTTTAGAATAGGATACTCGTAGTTGACTGACTTGCTCAACATTATGCTGATCAGACCGACCGACCGGACTGTAAGGTAATAAGGAACTAATTGAAGTGTACCACAAGGAGGCGTTCTTCTACCTCTTCTTTTTTCTTTTTTTTTGCATGATTTGCCATCTTTCATAGAAAACACTTTTGTGAAATATGCGGATGACCTTACTGTATGTATGCTGATTTCCACCTCTTTACATCCCGTAGAAATGAGTTTTTGTCTCGTATTGAATGGTGATCTGTTGTTAATGGTCTCATACTTAGTCCGTCTAAATGTCAAGCTGATAACTTTAGCATGAAACATGAACGGCATCCAAATACCATTTTGCGATCCCATAATGCTTGTGCCATTGGAGACTATTCGATTAACACGGTGGTGAAGGTTCATTACCTTGGTGTTACATTTTCCTCTGATCTCTCTTGGTCTTCTCATGTTTTGCTGTTACCGCAGAAAGTTTTCCGTTTGACTTACTACATAAAGAGGCTGCTTACTTTTGGGATTACTCGACATTTACGCTTACAATATGTCAATTACTGCATATTACCTATTATTCTTTACTGTTCTCCATTATTCTTTCCCAGGCTTTTGAGAAAAATGGTTATATTGCGGAAAGTTATGAAGACAGATAACAAGGTGTATGGTGAATCTTTTGAGGTCATTATTAATATGGTCGTGGATAGACATCTAAAGTCTTGAAAACTCTTAGCAGGTGTTATCTTATCAGATACTAACCATCCCATTCACTCATATATTTCTCCTTGTATATATTCTGGTAGAACGAGACGTAATTACGTTAAAATCCATGCAAGCAAGCAAAAGTATAAAAGTTCTATGATACCTTACCTAGCAAATATACTGTGTGACGAACAGGTGGTTAGAGTTGACCTATTCAATAACCTGAATTTTTAAACATGTCTCTATTCGAGAAGCTGTACAGTTTCAAATATTTATTTTCACCTTTTTTCTTCCTTTTTTGTTGTTTTTTTCGTAATAATAATAACAGTGTATATTATTTGGCGTACAGATTAGTGTAAGGTAGTGTAGTAATAATAATGGGGGAAACGAAAAGGTACAATCAGAAGAAATCTTCCAGTTAAGGAAGAAGCAGCCACTTTTTATGAAGAAAGTAAAAGAAAGTTACAGCAGGGTCGCTACTGGCTCCTATTCTGAGCCATATCTGATAAGGTCTCTAGCCACTGTGTCGCACCATCTCTAAGACGCCAACCAGGGAAATGTGAAGGACCAATAGAAGCCAGCCGTTTGCAGTTTTCTTTCATCCTGCGGCACCATGTCATACACTGACCACCTCTCCGCTTTTTTCAACCAGTCCCAGCGTCCGCAAATAATGCACGATATGGAATTCTCCGGACGACATTCGTAGAACATGTCCAAGCCACCGAAGTCGGTGTTTCAAGATGGCGACACCAATTGCCCTTGATCTATGAGATTAAAATCCCTTCATATCTTTCTTTCTATGCATTAAATATTTCTTCCTGTACTACATCCTTATGTGTGATCTTTCTTTCATATATTACCACCATTGAATTAACTACTTTATGTATTCGGTATTCATCTTGTTGTGCTGATGAGGTATTGCAACTTGAACCGATGCACATATATGTGTCTGGTCCTACGCCGTAACTGACTGACTGACTGACATCCATTATCAGCAGTCTTATTTCATCATTGTTATAGCATAGTACAATTTACTTAGACTTAAATAGAATCAGTGTTTAGGAAAGATATACAACTAAAACAAATACCCTTTAAATACTGTATCTAATCATCATAAATAGATGAAATAGTTTGACAAAAATAGATCTGGAAAAACAATCGTTTTTGTTTTCATTTTACTTGTAAACGTGTTATCACATTTTGTAAACGAAATACTTCAGTTTCATAATTGGATCGTAGATCAGATATTTGTTTTTCATATTCAGTTTTATTCATTAATTCAACTTGTAATTTGGCATTCTAATAAAAGGAGAAAAAAAAGAAAATTTCTTATGTGTTTATATCCGGTTTCTTGTCATGTGATTTATCCGTCAATCAAAATACGACTTATACAATCTTCGCACTGTGTCAAACCAATGATGTTCGAGCGGTATGAGCAGCCTAGCGTCCTTATTGGTCCTATGTCCACCTAGCCCGTCCACTTGAGTCCAGAACACCAATACCAGCTTCCGCAATATGAATCACTTATTTCAAACATACTCGGTTTGGATAAGGCGACGGCGTTTGAAGCGAACGGTACTGAGTTCAAGTTCCAGAGTGAACATCAAATCTGAGATGCAGGTACATCCAACTGACGAGTCCCAGACAGGATGAAACTCGCGTCCTGGATTCCGATGCTAGCCACTATCCATTTTTGCTTATAATACTCGGTTTATTTATATATATATATATATATATATATATATATATATATATATATATATATATATATATATATATATATATATATATATATATATATATATATATATATATCAACCAGACAGACCACAACGTACCATAAAATAGAAAATAATATTTGTACAGTATTTGGCCAAATCTGGCTGTGAACATAGGAGACAGTCGTCAACAAACTGAACATAGCTTAAGAACCGTAAATCGTACAATAATAAATTATAGGTCGAAATAAAGCTTATAATAAGAGGAATATAAATATACATAATCTAATCATTGAATAGTTATATCATAAGAATGTATAGATAATATTAGTCAATCAATATGTCTCAGAAGTTACTCGTGATTTAGTCTTCGCTCGGATATAACACAATTTATACTTTAAAATTAATATCAGTTGGGAATTTGTGAAGCCTGTATATAACTCCAATTAGATCTTATGAATAATTCCTAATGAAAGATACATTTCACCAATCCTCTTACGCATAATCATCAACTTAAATCACGTTAGTAAATAACGAAATTAAGTAAGTCAAATACGAGAATGAACTTTTGAATACGTATATTTTGTACACTCATTGCTCTGGACAAGCAATCAGAGGAATGAAACGAAGAGGGAGAAGCGAAGTGACACGCGGTGGAGAAGGAATGTGAGCCTACTTCATTTAGTCAATATTAATAATCACAATAAATTAGCTACAGACATGTGATGAGTAGAATGAGATGTACACACAAATATGCTCATATAAGTCAGTCAGTCAATCAGTCATTAACAACGTAGAGCTTCGTACGTTCGTACATCAAATCGAGTTGCCATACCACATTACATTAGCACAGAGATACAATTGTCAATTCAAATCCTATAGTGGTAGAGGTAGTAAAAGTATAAGCAGTAATCGGAAACATAATAAATTTGGAAAGAGGAAAAAGGGACATGAAGAATTCAGAAGATTATGCTCATATAAAAACAGTCAAGGTTGATAAGTGGATAATTAACAAGGTCAAAATGTGACTCAAGAAGAATGGATAAATTGGCCTGTACAAAAGCTAGAATAAACTATATGGGCTTAACATAGCAACCGACACTACACACTTTTATAGATCGTCTTTATTTGAAAATATAAGCTGACCTAAAATGTTCCTATAGCCATTAATTATAATGTCTGCGAGATTAGAATTTATGGACGAACCAATCAGATTTACGATAACAGGTCTTAGATTTTGGTGTGAAATTCATTCACTCAATTCGCTAAATAGAATCTTGGCATTCTAGCTGATGTCAGTTTGTGATGGAAATCCTGAATCTAATTCCTAATCCTCATCATCAACTGTAAATGATAATCCTTATTTTTTAAACTGTTTTATAATCCTCATTTAGCCCTAGTAAGTAGGTAGAAACTCTCAAGGTCACTTTGGTTTCGCTCAAATATCGTTCATCTATTATATTCTCACCATTATTACTTCCAAAAAGTTCTACCGTAGAGTTTCTCAGAATCCTACCCATCTTATTATAAAAACCAATCACAGTCAATCACTTCTATTTATTGTAATTATAGCAAAACAAAACAGAACAAAAAAAGGAAAACGAATGCAGCATTTCAAATATATTTCGATACTAAGGATGAAACACAATGTTTAGTATGCAAGTAATTGTATTCCTGTTCGAAATTTCTGCTTATTTTAAATTATATTCTTAGTTTACATAATACTCAGTATCATTGTCTGGTGTTGACAAGTTTGTAATTCTAAGACTGAAACATTTCTTTCATAACAAATAAGTTAAGCACATCGCAACAAAAACAACTCAGTTTATCAATATGTTTAGGTACTACTATAAATCATAAACTAGAATGAAATTAGTTTTCAAATGATTATTCGTTTGATGATGTTTTATGATATTAAACACACTTATGATGTGTAAAATCTCATGATAACCAACCCTTCCAAGTAAGTCATACAGATTATGAGATTAATGGTGACATAGTGAAAGACGAATTTTTTGAACTTCTAATACCAAATTTGTAGTCATGTCAGATTTCAGGCGGTAATTTGCTAATGATACTGACTTACTTACTTACGGCTGTTAACCCTTGTCGAGGATCATAGGCCGCCCAACAGCATTCTCCATCCAACTCTATCTTGAACTATCCTTTCCAGTTGTTTCCAGTTACTATTTATCCTTTCGATATATGCTTTAAATTCCCGACGCAGTGTGTTCTTCGGCCTTCATCTTTTCCGCTTCCCTTCAGGATTCCATGTAAGTGCTTGCCTCGTGATATAGTTTGATGATTTCCGTAATGTATGTCTTATCCACTTCCATTGTCTTTTCCTAATTTCCTTCTCAGCTGGAGCCTGGTTTGTTCTCTCCTAGAGTAGATTTTTGTTGATAGTATCCGGCAAATCGACATTTGAGTATGCTACGTAGACAACTGTTTGTAAATACTTGTACCTTCTTGATGATCGTTTTAGTGGTTCTCCAAGTTTCAACTCCATAAAATAGAACTAACTGTCTTGACGTTCATATTGAAGATTATGACATTGATATTGGTTGACAGTTGTTTTGAGTTCCGTATTTTCTTCAACCGTAGGAGTGCGGCCCTTGCTTTACGTCTGTATCCGATCCTTCTTGTTCATCGATGATGCTTCTCAGGTACGTGAAAGCCTCCACCTCTTCAAGAGCTTCTCCGTTAAGTGTGATTGGGTTGTTGTTCTCTTTGTTGTATTCGAGGAACTTCCCTTTTTCTTTGTGTATGTTGTTGCTAATGATAAATATGAGTAAATATTGTGTTGCTTTAGAAATTGACTGAATTTGGAAACTATAAAGCGTTAGGTTTTTATCTAATAGTTTAAAAATAAAATGATTGTCATGTAGCCTGGAGGTCTTAGGTCCGATTCCTTAGAGTCATAGGGATTCATTGCTTAAGAGTTCCCAAGTAAAATGTGAGAACTATCTATTTCTCATTGGTTTATGATAATTCTCTGGCCAATAATAGTTTGTGATGAAAAATATCTACAGCGCTATTTAATCTCCACAAACTATTTGACCTAAGAATAAAATATATGATGTAGAAGATGATGAAAACCTTGCTGTAATCGTATATAAAATTCGATAGAACCTGGGCCCCAAATATGTAGAAGAAACTAGATGTAAACATAATATTTGAAGTAATCACGAATATTGAGATTTGAATAACTTAAACGTTTCACATGGAGAACTGGCTCGAGCTTCTTCAGCAAAATAATTAGAACCAAAATTATCAAAGATAAATAAGGTTTATAAAATGTCATCCAATCATGTTGAAATCGAGGTTTGAACAAGATTCAACGAGTTTAGTATTGACATTTTATGCTGTACTTATCTTGTTCATCACAAAATGATCTATTCACACAGAATTGTTTCCATAAAGTCTAGAGCCTTCAAAAGATATAAATATTTAAACAACACATGTTTTACTTTTATAATGCATACTGCATACAAACTTACGGCTTTTCTCTCTTCATCTAAATGTCTTTCAAGTTTAGATAATAAATCGAAAAAGATACTTTGGTTAGATTGTGTGTCATTACATTGTTCATGTTGAAGAATACTACAATCGTCCATATTAATAGGATTCAATATACACTCTTTCGTATTATCATCAGAATTCATATTCATTGAACTATTCTCACTGTTACTACTAGGAATATTATCAGGTTGACAAATTTCTGAAGAGTTTTTACCAAGTGTTTCATGTCTGAATAGAAGTTTAACATATGTTTATTAATAACAAACGTGATTAGACTACATAAATGTACATTTTAGTTTCACTTATGATCTGTTGAAGTTCCAGTTCCCTTAAATTTGGTCACTTGTGACTTATTATTATGGAATAGAGATTTTATTTATTTATTTATTTGAACACATTAATATTGATACAAAGGGGCACCGAATACATATGCACCACACTTCGTCATTCGATTTGTATGTGGGCTGTGATACTTCCCGGGTGCCTAGGACGAGGCAGGTGGTTTTCCTGAGGGGAAACTCCCGGAGCCCCCGACCTAAAGGTCTGAGGTAACGTCAGGAGACTCAGTCCCATGCTAATCGGTGACCAACAGTAAGTTCACATGCCATTTGTTCCCTCGGGATACTGGAGCCCATGTGCACCATTGGTTTGGAATCAGGGTTCCCTAACTTCCCTAGGTAGACCCCGTATGTCCACCAACCCGGCTAAAGCGCCGAACATTCGCTTTTTATCCTCTCGATTTCGTAGACAACATCCCGCCGTGAGAAGGCAGTGTGTAGGACTTCCTTGACAGTGGTTGTATACGCGTGATCATCTGAGAGCATTTCGAGAGACAGAGAGAGAGGGGGCTGACCCTCTCCACCCTCAGCCGAACTAGGGCATTTGGGGGCTTTGTTGTCATTTCATTATCAACAATGAGATCAATTTATTAACAAACCTGAGACAAATATTTTTAAAATGTCCACGAAACTGTGTAGACAAAGATTGATTTAATATGTGGAACGCAATTACAAACTTCTGGTAAAGTGAAATATTCTGAATAATGCTTTAAGGGATTAGCACAAAATAATGCAATGAGAACAGGGTTTGATAAAAACTGCTATCAGCCATAATTCTCCACGAATTTATAATCTTATAAACTGGTCTATATTATTTTATGAAATTCACTCTAGGAGATTGTAGCCTATTTATAGATTAGTTCTTAATGATTTTTTAAATTTTTGCTTTCTTCCTTGTTTTATTTTAGTGAAAATAATATGGTATGGCTGGGAGGAGTGAATGTTCAATTCATGCTACTTGATACAAGTCTATAGCGTGAAATTGAGCACTTGGTGCTTTGAGCAAAACCACTCAGTATAAGAGGAAATCAGCACTAACTTTTGCGTCAAAAGTAAATGAATTAACCGTAAACAGATGTACCATGTTAAATTAATGAAAACTAACTTTCCAGTATCCTTTTTATGACATATTTTGGATGAGAGTTTCATTCTTCCAGTCCCATACTTCTTATGACATTTAAATGATGATGAGGGTTTAAAATGCTTACATGACACTTCATGTGTGGAACAAGGATAGGAACTATCACATACAACTGGTCCTCTTCGGATACTCTCACGCATCATGGAAATGTATGAGCCAACTGATTCAATTTCTTTGAACTTGACTTCTGTAACAATGGTGGTGTATTAAGATTTATTAAATTTTATAAAGCATTAAGGTTCTGTAAATAGAAAATAGGAAATAACTTGAAAATTTAAAAGAATTCATTTGTAGACATTATCTTTCAACAGGCAATAATCATTGAAAAATAATTCACAGAAAACGTTTATCTCTTTTGTCTTATGTTGAATTTTACACCACTAAGAGATAGCAAAATAGTAAACCAGTTCTTGTTGATAAACTGTACTACCTAACACAATTGAATCATCCCCTACACTAATGCATTTAATAAAATTTTATCAGCATGACATGTAGATAGTTGGAACAAATAATTGTTATTAAAGTGACCAAGTGCTTGGTACTCTATGAACTGCTAATAAGAATAATTCAATCACAAGATGTCAATAAAACACTAAGTAAACTTTTTATTGTGCTTATAAGTAAATTAATCATGTTATCTGTATATTTTCTTCATCATTTTTCGTCAACAAATGAGACTCGGATGAAATGTGAATAGAATTAGTAAAATAAACACTAAAGACAACTGGAAAAAGTAATATATGATTATTTATTGAGCTACTGTAACTGTTTTCTCTTATCTTTCGTGTTTTTTTAAATTTTCATAGGCTGGCTACAAATCTTAACAATATTTCCCTTGAGATACATATTAAGAGATAATGAGTTTGCAACTAGTTATCTATTTGGAATCATATAAGCCTAAGATGCTATACAGTGGTTGAATAAACGTTCTTTGTAGTTCTTGATAAAGTTAATAGTTGGCGGTTTTCTTAATTATAGCTGAAAAATTCATTAAATTTACGCATCATCTAGAACACATGATCGGTTCAACATTCCAAGCTAGTGAACTTAAGCCAGGACTTTAAATTTGACTTCATAAACTCAAACGATGAAAAGTGTTAGATTTGACTAAAGCTACTTTCATGAGAAACTCAAACTGTAGCTCTTCTAGAGTTGCTGCCGGTCCGAAGCCCACACAAAGGAGGAGGGTCGGGCATGAGATTGGCAACCCCGTCGCGTATAAAAAAATCTTGATAAAAAAAGCCAAGACCAGATTAATCATATTAAACTATTTAGACTCTGCTCTCCGAGTTGAAGCAGGAAATATGACTCCTCATGATGAAAGCCGAAATTCTTCGAAAGTCATGAGAATTATGCCCCTTCTAACAACCAGGCCAACAAATTGGTTATAGGCAGTACAATGCTCCCGCACAAGCGCATGCATAAAGCTACGTGGATCTCACCAGGCTACACCACGGAGAACCAGACAGAACATATTTGTATCAATAAAACATTCAGAAGGACAATGGAAGAAGTAAGAGGAGCTGACATAGATACAGATCACCACCTGGTGGTTGCCAAGATAAAACTGAAGCTAAAGAAACACGGGACAACTAGACAAACAGCATTACAAAGGTTCAATACAGCCTTCCTTCGAGATAATAACGAACTCAGCGAATTCAAGATAGCTCTCAACAGGTTTCAAGTTTAAAAGATCTACTGGGAGAAGAGGAAACTACTATGGAGAATAACTGGAAGGGGATCAAAGAGGCACTAACTTCAATGTGTCAGGGAGTTCTGGGATGCAAGAAGCATCATCATAAAGAATGGATTTCTATCGAAACTTTAGACAAGATTGAACAGAGGAAGAACAAGAACAGGGAAAGTCAAGGCACAAACTGAATACACTGAAGCAAGCAAACGAGTAAAGGGGAGCATTAGAGCCGACAAGCAGAAGACAGTAGAAAAAGCTGGAACAGAATGAAGTATGAAACAACCATATGACACGACGAGAAAACTTGCAGGGATATATAGCAAAACAGAAAGACATATCATGAAGTTAGTAACCCCTAACATCCAGGGCAAAGATTACTAAAATGACAGAGTAAAATCTTTGACAACTAAAGGTGCTCTTCAGTTACACAGTCAAGAAACTGCTCCAGATAGTTGCATATTTAATGAAGTTACGTAATAATAACTTTCGCACTGTTTTTGTCTAGGTTTCAGTTTATTAAAAGTTCATTTCAGGAGTTCAGCATATTAGTCCTTTATATTCTAATTAACAATGACTAGGGACCATCTTCAATGTATGATATGTCAGGTTTGTATGAAGATAAGCTTGCACTATGCCTCGAATAATCGTTGAATTGAATCAACTTCCCAGAATGCGGAAATTTTAGTGCATAACTGTATGACTGAACTACGTCTTACTTTTTACGATGTAGATGTGATTTCAGAAGACTTTTTGCTATGCTTGGTAACCCATCATTCAATTTTAAAATGTTTGTAGACTATTAGGCTTGAAGACTTTTTCATATGGTAATTATTCCAGAAAAGCATTATTCCAACTTTATCAATTGCATTTCACCTTACAAATGATCACTAGAACGGAAGCCATGGTGAAGATGAACTTTTCATGCTCTACTTTTGTAGAGATTATGAAGCAATTACGTTTGCTTCTTCAAAAGGTTCTTTAATGAACGACTTCAGAAGACTGATATTTGGACGAGGAATATCTCTTTCGATAAATTCTCTTCAGGTTCTACAATTATATAGTCAAATTATTAATCCGAAAAATGGTCAGGTTAAGGGCAAGGCATATCGTTTAAAGCTAAAGCATGTGAACGATTTTAGATTTTTATTAACTCTTTGGATACCGTGGATAATATAGTTGGCTGGATTTTTGAGAAGGTTCAATTCCATTAAATATCTAATGGACTATTGCTTTTTCATGCACGTGATCCCACATCCCTGTAGTTAAATTAAACTTAGTTTACAGAAAAATCTACAATGGATTTAAGTCGGCTCTCGATTTATTTAAATACAGAACGACAGACAGACTAACACTGTACGGAGCAGATACCAGACAAATCAAGCTGCTATTTGCGTGCTGAGTTTTGTAAGTAACTCTTTTCCCCACTAGAATGTTTTTTTAATATACATGATCACTAATATGGACTAATATTATGGTAGGGCGGTAGAAATGATGTCTAGAACCTTTGAATAATATTGAGATGAAATTCAAAAGAAAGCAATCAGTTTATAATAATTTGCAGCAAAGATATTAGACATAGGGTATCATTATTCTCCTGTGTGTGCACACAAAAACGTTTTGGCTTTAAGTTTAAATATACATACACGCAAACTCAGTCCTTATATTTTTCAGAGTACAAGTGTTCCCCCGATCATACAGTCTAATATACATGTTATACTTACGAACAAAAACCTGTCATCGATTTTCCTGTTACAGATTTCCGATAATAATCATCTATAGTTTGGCAAAACCACAATTAATGGTTAGATTTTCTGTCTTGACATAAGAATGATTCAGCGAGGCTATAATTTCTTAAGCTCACAATTTTTTAGAAAATTTGGGGAAGCCGCTATAGTCAGCTTTGTGGAAATGACACAAAAACCCAAAAATTTCCCAAAGTTGGGAGCTTGAGTTATGGACGAACCAATCAGGTATAAGGTAACAGGTCCCAGATTTTGGCGCAAACTTCATTCAACAACTTGAGTAAATGGAGTTTTGGCATTATAGCTGATGTCGGTTCGTGATGAAAACCTTAAATCTAATTACTAACACTAACTACCAACTGAAAATCATAGTTCTGGTCCCTCAAGATGTTTCATAAACCCCATTCGGTTAGAGCTTCAATGAGCGATAGGAAAATAACTATAAACCGTACATAATGACGAGACAAAGTAGCACGAAGAAAAATGAATACGATTCATGAGAAAATCTGAAGTGCCGCGGATAAACATAAACTTATTTGACCCAAAGATGAATGTTAGTGATACGCTTAAACACAAAAAAATAACTTCTAATTTCATGGTTTCATTTCAGTTTGGAATACGAAATAAACATGTAATTACTAAGGTTAAATTGTAAATGTACTATCTGTCTGCTAGATTTGAATTGTTCTGGGTTCTTTAAACAATTTGGAGTTTTTTAATATGTCATTTTGCACCAGTTATAAGAAGCTCAACTATGTCCTCTGTTTACCAAGTAATTCCACAAAAAGTAAATGCTCATCTCACGTGAGCTTGATCACTTGCTTTCGTACATAATATTTTTATTCTAATAACAGGTAACCTTTATCTACTACAGTAGTTCCTCCCAAAATCAAAATAGGTAGTAATCCTTATTTGGTAAATTTGAAAATATGCTAGTTCAGTAACTACGGAAAATGATATATCGCTGCAAGTGCTTTCGAGGCGCATTTAGTACTTGGCATTGATACATTAGTCATAAATAACAAGTAATGTTCATCTAGAAGTATTCTATACCTTACACAAACCTTCCTAATACGTAATGTTCTCCCTCAGTAGTATGTTTCTTCACTTTATGATGTGTTACAAGTGATTTTCTGTACTTTCCGCCTATGTGAGGAACAGAGCTAGTAAGGAAATAAAGCGTAGATCGAACAAGAATATCTGGGAAAGTCCCACCTACTCAACACCATTTCATTATCAGTCCAGTTATCATGGAGCATATGCATATGTTTCCCGTGACATCCTGACGTCAAGGAGAAAGGAAAAACCTGCCCCTTAAGAAATGAAAATAACTACATGCAACCAAACTTCAAGAATTACTCCATCACCCTTATAAAATAATAAATGGAGAAGAATGTAGAGCTACGTGTAACAAATGCTCTCTCTTCACACGGCTGTTCGGTCCTGAAGAAACTACTGGCAATATAGAAGGAAATATGCAAGGAGTAGATATTATGGGAATAAGCATGTGCCAAAGTATTGAGCCACATGGATGTTATATCATTCTAAGCTCTTCATAGGTTAGATTCATTGCTTGACGCCATCATATCTGTGACCTTGAGGCCGTGTAATGATATTCACTGACCAGGAATATCCAAACGGATTTTGCGCCAATGAAACCGTAAAATGTCAAGTATACGGACATTGTTAATCATCGATCATTCATATT